GGTTGGGTCCTTAAAGACGGATAGAAATGTACTAGACAGAGAAAGCCAGTCATGAGGGTGGCCGGTAGGGTGACAGTGTGAGGCAAAGGGAAAGGTCTAGAGGTCAGACATAATGGCTTAGGGTGTAAGTGCAAACTGCAAATAAATGTCAAGAGGCAAATGGGGCCCAGTTGGTCTCTTTTCCGCAGGGCAGGTGATAGGGAAGTGATTGCAGGGTGCTAAGCAGGGGAGAGAGGCCAGATCTGAGTTAGAAAAATCACCCTTGTAGTTGTGTGGAGGCTGGACTGCTGGTGAGGCAGAGGCCAGGGGGTCAGCAAGGAGTTTGCCCCACACACAACGAAGAGGAGCCATTTCGGGGGCCTCTTGAGAGAGAGCTGCAGGATTTGCTGAGCTGTGTGCTGTGGTGTTGAGGGGAGAGTTTAGAATGGCTCTCAGATTTCTCCTTCGGGAGAGCAGGTCCAGAGAAGGAGGTAGACCCATTAACGAGAGACAGGCCCGTAGCCTATGTCCCTACGTCAGGCGGCGGGGCACGGCTCTAGGGCACTGGGATGGAGGGTGGGCAACCAAGACACCAGCAGAAGTCTGCCTGCCTATTAAAATCTGAGTAAAGCTGACTGGCCTTCACATTCCTTGACCTGCACAAGGTCTCATGCCCTCCCCTCTGCCCCCTGGATTTCTGTGAATTCTCCGGTTTACATTCTTTTAGTCATTTCCGGCTCTGGGCCCCTGTTTCTGGTGAACCAATCCCATTTCTGGTCACCCTCACCAGATGCCAGATCTGTGGTCTGCCCATCCCCGCGTTGGTTGACCTGTCCCTTTCCTTGTTGGGGGGCAGCCAGGACTTGTGCACATGGCGGACGTTGTGCAAGATCTGGGGAGTCGGAGGGGGTTTGTTTCTAGTTGGGCAAGGAGCAGCCTTAAATTACCTCTCAGATCTTCCCATTTGAAAAAGTCTTTTGGGCACTTCAAGGGCAGCCATTTCCCACTGGGGGGAACTTCCCACCTCGCCCCTCACTCTCTCACTGTCTTGCTCATACCTGCTGCCAGCATTCCCCACCCCCATTATTTCAGGAAATTCTGAATTCCTCTTACTCTATAGTGCAGCAAGAGTGCCCTCTAACCCTTTCTCAGCTCAGCTCCAGGTCCATCTTTTCATTTCCAAAATGCATCAAGTTCCTCCTACTTGAGTAAAAGAGCATCTTGAGATGAACAGCATCCATTCTGCTTAGAGAGTAATTGCAGTTTTAAATAGCATTTTTTCAACATTATATATTTTAAAGATTATGAAAAATGTTATTCTTTTTCTTCAATTAGTCTCTCCCACCTCTTCTCCTAGCTCTCCTGGTGAACCTCCTCCTTCGGTAGCTGGAAACTCAAGGTGAAGAGTTGCACCTGCTGTCTGGGGCCCCTCTTGGCTCCCTGCTTCTTTCTCCCTGCCCACGCCCACTTCCCCATCTACTCGATGGAGTGTTCAGTGATGTTCTCTAGTCCCTCCTGATGATGCCACACCCCTGGTATGGGGAAGATGGCTGAGATTGGCAGGGGCGGATGGATTGGGGAAAGAGCCTTGTTCATAATGTTCGTCTAGAACCAATCTGGAGGACATCCTTGCCCTAGTTCCCAGCACCGAGTTGGTCACTGTGGCATCTGCAGCATTTCTTAGGCCTGCCAGGCACACAGGTCTTTGTTACCATTCAAGTTCAGCCCAGGATACCAAAGGGCCATGGCTGCTGGAATGGGAGGGTCCTGGCACAGTAACGAGAGAGACCTATTAGGATGCCTCCAAAGGAGGGCGGGGGTGGGATTTGTGTGCAAACCTTCCAACATGCTCCAGGCCCTGAGCCCTCATGACTGTCTGTCCATCCATCCAGGAGACAAGCATCTGCTGTTGTCTGAAACTGCCCCAGCATTAGGCGTTTGGAGAGGAGGAATTAAAATGTCCCCACCAGGCCACAGTCCAGTGGGAAAAGACTCAAACTGATAAATCACTGTGAAACGTGCCAGGAGCTCCATCTGTGGATACAGAGGAGGGCGCGCCCTGGGGGCTGTTGGAACAGGCACGGTGGGTGGGTGGGGGTCCATGTGCAGTGTCTGTGATGCCTGTTTCACCGCTTTCTGTGGCTAGAACGCTGGGTGCCCCCGGTGCTGGGGGTCTCGGCCTGGAGAGCTCGGACTCCATCCTGAGGCCACTAACGGGAATGTTGCGAGCTGGGCTTCACGAGGTCCACTCGGCAGCAGAGCAGACACCTGCTGGGGCTGAGCAGGCCGTCGGTAAGGACGTGGGGCTCCACGCCCCCCACCCGACTGCCAGTTCATGCAGCGGAGGGCCTGCGGCTGCTGTGCTCACCATATTCCAAGCCTAGGCCCTCAGATACCATGAGAAATCTCACTGCGTTATGGACTGAATGTTTGTACCCCCAAATTCACATGTTGAAATCCTAATTCCCAGTGGGATGGTATTGGAAGGGGGGGCCTTTGGGAGGTGATTAGGTCACAAACATGGAGCCCCCGTGAATGGGATCAGTGCTCTTAGAAAAGAGCCCCCAGAGATCTCTGGCCATGTGAGGCCACAGCAAGGAGATGGCATCTCCGAACTGGGAGGCAGGTCCTCACCAGACGCCAGATCTGCTGCTACTTTGAGCTTGGACTTCCCAGCTTCCAGAACTGTGAGCAATCACTGTTTGCGGTCTGAGCCCCCCCAGGCTATGGTATTTTTGTTACAGCAGCCCAAGCTAAGACACAGAGTGCAGGCGGACAGAAAGTGAGGCAGCCTGGCAAAGGCGGTGCTCGGGGTAGACCTGCTCCACACGTCACCCCCGGGAGAGACGGGCCCGGGAGTGGAAGGCCCAGTTCGGCACGACTGTCGGAAGATTGAACTGCGGCCAGGATGCTACCACATCGGGGACTTGGCTTACACACCTTCCAGGAGCGACTGCACTCCTCTGCCGGGGTCCCTTGGCTCTTTCCACCTTCCATTCCTCGGGCTGCTCAGTCCCTGCAAGGCAGCAATGGCGGGGTGGGGGACGGGGACAGGACTCATCTTCAGGGCTGGCGGACAACCCGGCCCCGGTCTGCTGTGTCCTGGCTCACCTGCCACACCGCCCTGGGGGCCCCTCAGAACTCCTGCCTTCAAGATTGTGTGGGCAACAGGGAGGTCATGTTGAGGCCGGGAACCAGGGACCCCAAAGCTCTTGTTTTCTTAAAGGAAAAAAACTCTTTGACCACACAGGAGTTTGATTGGATTAAAAAAGTGTATTGGATTTCCAATACTAAATAAAAACATGAAATTGTTTCTTTAAAAAGCCATAGAGTTTACAGCATCAACTACAGAAAAGGCCAAACAAGTGTGTACAGAAACTAGTCCCCAGCAGCCCCCCAGGCCCCCCTCCAGCAGACAACAAGGCAGCAGACATGTTTGTTCCAAATCCTCCTGGAGGAAGCTGCTGAGCAGCCACTCAACTAGGACGTTACAAGACACACAATGGTTTAATTTCAAAAATCACAGGAAAATGTAAGAAAATGTATTAAATTGTGAAAAGGTGCAATACAGAATAGCTTTCCTTTTTCTTAATTTTAAAAAATCCCCCAACTTTGAACAGTTATTTTATTTAAAAATAGGCCCCCCCTCCCCGCCCCAGTTCTGCGGCAGTATCCAGGTGCCGAGGCCCTGAGGTAACGCAAGTGTCAGGGTTCACGGGAGGGAGCGCCCCGAATACCGAGCACGTTTCTTTGGGCAAAAGGTAAGACAGCTTCTGGGGAATCTAGCCCTCCTGGTGTCCAGGGTGCTCTGAGTGCTCTCCTCAGGATCAGTTTAAGTGCACTGGTTTTCCAGAACCCCGCCTGGCACGATCCTCTGTGACCAGCTAGCATGGCAGGAGGACTTCCGGCATTGCACTTCTCATTGCCCCCCAAATAATAAATACAAAGAGTTCGTCCTCTACAACAGCAAATACGTGTGAAGACCTCAAGAGGGGAAATAACGAATGTGCAAAGGCAAGTGGGGTGCCTGTGGGGCCAGGGCAGAGCCCAGGGCCCCCAGGCTGGTGGGCTGGGTACCCACCTGCGGTCTCAGCAGCTCACCTCTTCATGCCACAGAACCAAAGCCTGACGTGCCTTCTAACTGCCTTCTGCACTGTCTTCTGGGGAGTGGCGGGGAGCCGGGGAAGATGCTTGACGGTCAGTCCTGGATTTTGTTCCTATTTGCAGTATTTAAAAAACCCACCTCAGCTCCTTACCTTTTTAAGACAAAGAACGTAAGGGCTGTTTGCAAAGGCAAAGGGCCTCTCGGCATATTTCAGGAGCCCCCTGCTACTCCGTTCTTATCAGGGGCTTCGCTGAGCTGCTGGGATGGAGGAGGCGGCAGCCACCTCCGCTGTCCCTTTCTGCTGTCCCCATCCCCTGCTACCTCCAGAACAATGTTCGGAAAGAAGCGGAGAGCCTCAGGGCTGCCGCAGCCTCTGCCCGCCTCGTCCTTGCGAATGCCTTCCCTACAGGGCTCTGGAACAGGGCAGAGAGAACCAGACTGGCTAAGGACAGGGACTAGAGAGAAGCAAGGAGTCCTGGGAGGAAACAAAGTTCCTTCCTTCACCTCCCGCGTCACCCAGGGAACACATGGTAACAGCGGGAAAGGGCTCCATCTTGCCCCCTGATTCCCCAAGAACGGCTCGGGCTCTCGCCTGGGCACTGGCTCCTCATCATGGACGTCCTCACCAGGATGAGACCCAGACATCAGGGCAGCTAAGTCCTTGAACTCACCTATTGCACAGAAGAATTTTTTAACTAGATCCAAATGAAAGTCCAGTTGCAACTTAGTGACAATAGAGATGGACATGCCAGGACAGGACGAAAAAGAAGATGCTTCCGTTCTCTGCAGGCTTCTGGAAGAACGCACGACGACTGAAACATTCACAGACCTCAGCAGCCCCTCCACTTCCTATTCCCAACCTCCCAGCCCACCCCCACCCCAATACTTTGAAACTGCACAGAAAGCAACAAACAAGTCTTTTCAATGTTACATTTCATTCAAATAGATCTGTGATCTCACAGTGATGAGAGGAGAAAGTCAGGCCTTTAATAATTATAATAAAAAAATAATAAAAAAGCTTACAAACAGCAATGCAACATTTCCTCCCCCCTCAAAGTGGTGGATTAACAGCTGGTAGAGGATGCAATGACTCAGAATTCAAAAGTAAAAACAAAAAACAAACCAACCCCTGGGATAACCCACACTGTCAATGACTTTCCATACAGAATTCAAACAAGTAGTCAAATGTCAACCACTTGTGGAGAACACCATGGACTCCCTTGGTTTTTGATAGTGTTTTCCTTTCGAAGGTAAAATAAAATAGGACACAAAATTGTACGTAAATGCCAATGTCTACACTCCATAAAGGCGATGCAGTCGCAGCACGAAGACACAGCCTGGCCACAAAGTGAAATGTAGGGTGCACTTCTTGCCTCTTCCCCGGACACAAAATCTTGGCCCATGGTGCCCAGTCCTGCAGGGTATCAGCAGGCAAAGGGAAGCCGCCTTGACATGGGCTTCTTCCAGGCCGACCAGGAGAAGGCAGGTGGCCGTGCCTGGAGCCGGCCCCATGCAGGGGCGCCGGCTGGTTGGCTCGCTCGCTCTGTGTTCTCAAGTGCTGTCCTCGCGTGCTCTGTACAATCCTTGCTTTCCAGGCTCTGTCCCAAGACTTCTAGACCCAGGTCTGCAGTCAGGTCCTGGGGAAGGTCTCATGCTGTCGTGATGGCGTTTAGGTCCTTCATTAGTCCTTCCAGGTGGGCCATCTCTTTGGTCAGCTCATCTGGTTCGTAGCTCTAGGGGAAAGAGAAAGCACATAAGCCCTCAGCACCGTTCCTGGCTCAGAGGAGATGCTCAGGTATGTCTGCTCAATGAACGAGCACATCTGCTTCACACTTCTGGGCCGGCACACAAGATCAGTGTGACCCGCACACTCGCAGGCTGTGGGACACACACCCAGACATCCTGGCTGGGCTGATGGCCCAGGAACTTACACTCTCAGAGTCTTCCAGCATCCTTGTGGTCTCCTGCACGTCAGGGGCACTGGGCACCACCACTGGCATAGGAGGCCGGCTCCTTCCTAAAGTCCCAATGGAGGCCGTCTTCACCGAGTGAATGTGATGGTTCAGAGCTGCGGGGGAGAGGACACCATTAGGTGTGCAGCCGAGCCTGCTCCCGCAGATCTCACGAAGGCAACTAAGGTCCAAATGCTGCTTCAGGGTGAGGGATGCACCCAGACCCAGTGCCCAGATCCTGCTCTGAAAAGGCAACGCACTAGATGGAAGGAGGGAGAAAGTGGGGCCTCTCAGAGGCCAAAGAAACTATTCCATTTGGCTTTAGAAAACTAGAAGGTCGGGCGCCTGGGTGGCTCAGTCATTAAGTGTCTGCCTTCGGCTCAGGTCACGATCCCAGGGTCCTGGGATCGAGCCCCACATCGGGCTCCCTGCTCAGCGGGAAGCCTGCTTCTCCCTCTCCCCCTGCTTGTGTTCCCTCTCTCGCTGTGTCTCTCTCTGTCAAATAAATAAAATCTTAAAAAAAACAAAAAACAGGGCGCCTGGGTGGCTCAGTCGTTAAGCGTCTGCCTTCGGCTCAGGTCATGATCCCAGGATCCTGGGATGGAGCCCCGCATCGGGCTCCCTGCTCCGCGGGAAGCCCGCTTCTCCCTCTCCCACTCCCCCTGCTTGTGTTCCCTCTCTCGCTGTGTCTCTCTCTGTCAAATAAATAAATAAAAATCTAAAAAAAAAAAAGAAAACTAGAAGGTCAAAACTCTTTTCATAACAGTAAGATATTTTTGCCTCTGCGCTGATGGTATAAAAGCAACAGTGGGTAAAACTGCTGGAGCCTCAGCATAAATTAAGGCAGTGGTAGCAAAATATAAAGTCATTCACGGACATGCCTTGCAATTAAAAAAAAAAAAACTAGTTTAACTTAAGATCATCCTTAACGAAGTAGTAAAAATTATTTTACGAAATCTCAACCTTGATTACACATCCTTTATTCTATGTGACAAAATGGAAAGTATGCATAAAGTACTTTGTATACTACAGGACGGTGGCTGGGTGAAGCTCAGGGCATCTGTGACAGCTTGAGTTACAAGCGGAACTGTGGCTTTTGTCATGAAACACCATTAGTCCAAAGAAAAACTGACAGTCAAACCAGTTATTCAGACTTGAGCGTTTGGCAGACATTTTCTAGAAAGTAAATAAAGTAAGCCAGTCACTTCAAGAAAAACAATGGACGGTTTTTATTGCCAATGATAAAATTTAAGTTTCAAATGAAAATCAGAATGTTGAAAAACTTGTATGTGCCACCAAGAGCTTGAGACCCTCCCAATACTTACAGACTTTGGTGATATTAATAAATGTATTTTTAGATATTGTATAATGAACTGTGTTAAGATTTGGAGGACCTGTATAACTTAATGAACCAATGTTTTCCAAATGACCAATGTGTGATGTCTGATATCATGCATTCAAAGTACAAGATAGATGGATTTTAATGGAACAGAGAACAAACAGTTCATGGATATGGTTACACTATGTTACCAAAACCTGTAAGAAACTACAACTTCTTGTGTTTTGCTACAGTATCAAAAAAAGAATATCCAGTTCTCTGAAAAGGTTACAAAAATACTCTTCCTTTTTCCAACTTCGTATCTGTGAGGCCAGGTTTTCTTCTTACACTTCAACCAAAATAACATATTGCAACAGACTGAATGCAAAAGCAGGTATGAGAATCCAGCTCCCTTCTATTAAGCCAGACATTACAGAGATTTGTAAAAATACAAGACAATGTCAGTTTTCTCTCTATATCTTTGTTTCGAAAAGTTATTTTTCATAAAAATATGCTATTTATCTTCACATGATAGATTTGCTATTTTTAAATGAGTTAATAAAATAGCTTAAAATTTTCTCCGTTTTAATTTCTAATACACGAACTATTGGTAGATCTAGCCCATGTAAAGAAAAGCTCCTTCATGGTCTCAATAGCTTTTAAGAGTGTAAAGGGGTCCTGAGACCAAAAAGCTTGAAAACCACTGACTTACCCTAAAACAGACCATCATAACAGATGGGGAGAAGTGGAAAAACATGCCTTTCAGGTTAGGGGACTTTGTTGGGCCATGTGAACTTGAGGAGTAGACTTCTGTCCCATCTGAAGGGCCCCTTACTTCCATGTCTTGTCCTCCCTGATCCTTCCCTAGCCTGTAGTAACCCTACAGAGGGAGGCATTTTTGGGAGGCTAAGTGGACTAGATCTGTTGCCCACACCCATAGTCATTGGATTTTACCACCAAGCATTCTGCACCCAAAACACGATTCAAAAAGTCAGCCCTCACTCCCCACCATATTATTCTCTGGTTCATATGCACTCCCCAAGGAGGGGAGCCCATATACTTCCTGAGCAGGGCAACGAATTCCAGCTATTCTAAACTGCTAGGATAAGCTTGGAAGATATTTGCTATTTTCAAAGAAGAGGTGACTTGTGCCACAAGCCAGAGCCAAAGGGTCCCACCAGTGGTGCTGCTGTCCTCACTCACCTTGCTGGGAGAGTAATGGGGTGCTTGGCAGCGCGGGGTCATAGGTGGGAGGGCCTGGGGGCGGGACTGCCGGCACAGCAAAGCTCTTCAATGGGTGGGAAGGGCGCACGTGGGCTGTAGGAAGACTCTGGCCTGAATCTTCCTCTTGGGAGCTGGCCAAGTAAGAGGAACTGGTAGCACCTTCAGGATCCTGGTGATCAGTACAGCATGTTTGAGACGAGGAGGCTGGCATGGTGTCAGTGCTGGGGGTATTTCGAACAGATTCTACAGCAGGAAAGTCTAAATGTTAGCATTTCTTCTACCATTAAACACACGCACATACCAGGGTTCTGGCTACTTCTAAGGGCCCCTGAAACCAGCTCAATAAGCACTCAGGATCAGTGCTAGTCCAAGGCAACATGGATTAGCACCACTGCCAAGGCTAGGTAAGAGTGGGCTAATCTAAAGGAGTCCCAAACAACTTTGCTAACCAGCTGCTCTGCTGAAATGTTCTCGCCACACAGCTAAGTGGTCACAATTTTACAACATTCTTGTGAGTATTTACTAGGGAGTACACATAAAGATTCCTGAGACTATTGTCTACTAAGATGTAAGCATAAAAGGAGATTAAAAACATCACTCATTGACTGATGGATGGTCTTAGAAACTGGCCTGTCATAGATAACCTGTCCACTTGACAAGTACCAGATCAGCCCACGAGGCCTGGTGGTTACTACAGGGGAGGCAATGCCACAGGCCCTGCATGCCCTTGGGGGACTGTGTACAGCCTCAGCAGAACAATAGCCCCACAGCTCAAGGGAGACCTGGACAACCAAATAGTCCAGAGATCTGAGAATAGCTTTAAGAGCATGCCATATGAAGGGTGTTTGGGTCCAGAGAAAAAAAATAGGGGAAGATCAGCCTGGAGAAGGGGACGACTAAGGAAGAACATGACAATCTCCAAATATGTGAGGAAGGGTTAGAGTTGTTCCAGAAGGCAGCATGGTGGGACAGACAAAACACTGGGTTTGGAGTCAGATAAACCTGGACTATAATCCTGGCATACTAGCTGGGTGAACTTGGCAGTCACTGAATCTCTCTGAGTCTGTTTCTTCACCTACAAAACAGGGAGAACAACATAATTCAGTGAGGATTGAGAAGATGTATGAAATGTGCTGAACACAGGACCTTAATAATTGATAAGGTTCTTTTCCCTGTAAATTACTGAGTGCTTACTCTGAGCCAGCCACTATGCTATGTGCTTTATATTCATTAGCTCATTCTATGCTCATAGTAACTCAGAAGGCGCCGGGAGGTTAGGCAGCGCTCAAGGACACAGTAAGAATGGCAAGGGCAGGAATCCGAATCCTTGCACCCTGACTCCTAGCCCATGCTTGGAACTACCCCATTATACTGCCCTTCCTTTTCCAATACCACCTGTCCCCTGACCCTGTGGGGGCAGAAGCAGCACCCAGACCCAGGGAGACCATATGAGAAAGCCCTTTCAAACAGTGTGAGTTGGTGCAGACCAACATCCCTATCCTGAGGATGGGCCTGGAGACACCAGCTCAGCGCAAATAGGCTGCACCAGGTAGCCAGAAGGAGGGCCTCCCCTGACTCCTAGAGTCTTGCACTTCAAAAAGGAAAATAAGCTCTTTTAAGTAGTAATGCATGAGCAGCCTGTAGAAATCCAACCTCTTTCCCTGCCTTTGCAAATCAAGTATCAAGCAAATGATACCTGAGGTATCACTGAATCTATTCCCTTGGGCTCTCAGGAGACGAGTCACACCAGTCATGAGTGCTAACCTCTTAGCTTAAAGACCTTGGGTCCCAGGGCTGAGGGACTCACACACCTTCCCCCAGGGTGGAAAGCCTGGCTGTGATAACCCTACCAGGCCTACATCGCTTCTCACCCTCTCAAGAGGTGCACTGAGGACCTCGTGTCTTGTGTTTGCTTACGCCAGCCATAACCACAGCTGGGGAGCTGCTGGCCCTATTCTGTGTGATCCTGGGCTGGGGAGAAGCTGGTTAGGGAGCATAGCAGGGGGCAGGAGAAGCAGACTCCGGCCTGGACCATGTCAGCCGGTATTGGCAGACGGGTTAGGTCAGCTCTGGGCACACAGGCCTGCCCTGGCGGCCTCAGTGCCTGACTTTGATGTATTCGCTTCTGAGAGTCAAAGAGATGGGAGAAATGTAAAAAAGGAGAATAGGGCGGCCTACAGGAGTCAGAGCCCTGGCCTGCAGCCACACACCAGGGCCGCCTTGCCGTGTAACTGCAGAGAGTACCGGGCATGTTCTACGCCCAGCAAAGGGCGTGGTGCTGGCCCACAAGGAAAACTACGCTGTCGTTAAAATTTCTGCTTTGCTCAGGGGCCTACTTCCTGATGACTTACCTCTCAGGGTTTAAGACACACAAAGTTCACAGTGGCCGAGGGCCTGGACAAGCAGAAAGTGCTCTTCCTAAGTCAAGTGGCGGGTCTCAAGAGCAGGGACTGCCCTGGCCAAGTCCCAGTCATGCTTGGCCCACATGTTCAGCAGCACTGAGCTCCAGAAACCCAGGAAAATACAACAGTGAGAGAATTTGGGTCATCAAGAATTTAGATACTTGCTCTAAGTTTCCAGTCTGTCTTCAATGACTTTCCCTGCCATTAGTTTACCTTCTTTATCCCCTCTGGTCATTAAAGTGACGAACCCTGTAGTGATATAAATCATGACTTTTCCCTCTCTTCATTGTCTGCCCAAGTCCACAGAGAAAGGACCTTTTAGCAGCACTGGACCACTTGGATCAGGGCTGGGTGGGGGCTGCTCTGCTCCTTGCCAACCTTCAACACCCTCCTGGTCTGAGAGGAAGGAGGAGGGGGCTAATCTGACTAGGAAGAGCCTGCCATGCACTCGGGCAGGCCCACATCCTAGTGGGTGGGATTCTTCTGCCTTAAAAACAGGGAAACAGAGTCAGGACACCAAAACTGCTTTCTAAGAGCAGATTTGGAACGCTGCTTTCTGGTCCCTGTTCTAGCTGAGACTAGGTCTGCAAAGCAGAGTTTGGTTCTCCAGACAGCTGTCAGTAGACTGTCTTTCCCTAAGGCAGGGGGCCCCGAACCTGGATCTGGAGGGAGAGAGCAGGAAGGTCCATTTTGGACATAAGTTTAAGTGGCTTTCTCTAAACCAAGTAAAGGTTTGGGAGAGGTAACTTTGGGAGTTAGTAGGCATCCCTTAATAAAGTTTTGATCTTCATTTGATGTTTTGGGTATGTTTCAAATTGATCAAAACTTAGAGAGGGGGAATGTTATTAGCAACCCAAACTTCTAGCATGAGGTTTTGAGGTGCTTTTAAAATGGAATTCACTTGAAAATTCCTTATTTTCCAGAATGAGCAAAATTTAATTCTACTAGTAATGTCATAACTATTAACAGGCATGTTTCGAATGATGGAGAAAGAACGTATTGTACATGTGAGAAGCTACTAGATTTGCACCTAACACTGAGAAGATGGAAGTTAATTTTCATTTAATGAGGAACAACAGTATTTGTTCCATTTACTGTCTCCTTACCTTCATTATTTCCTCCTTAAAACTGTTTTGATAATGCTATTTCTTAAGATTTCCAAACTGGTACATGTTTGCCTGGCAATGTATTTCTTTAAATGAACTGCAGATTTTTAGGCTCACTTCCAATCTGTTTTTTAGAAATGATTCATGACTGTGCAGCCCCTTCTAACGTCAATAATCCTCCAGGCAATGTGAGGTTTACAATGTACACAGAATTCAATGTGGCCACTGGCCCCACTGCCCCTGGATGCATCTCTTACTTCGGGCCACAGCAGAAGTATGTGTAAGATCTAATATGAGAATTATCTTACAGCTGCCCTACAGACCCTCCCAGCCACAGAGTAACTGCGAGGTGGAGGCCAAAGTCTAGTGTCTGAAAATCATCCCAAATGAGTTTTCTGTTCAGATTAGAAGATTAAGAAATAAACAAACTGAAAATAAGGCTGAATCAAGATGCAACTTGATGAAACAAGACATGGTTATGTGATTAGAGTTATTGTGCTTTTACTAAAAGGACACCTTGCACCGAGCACTTATCAACTTTGGGAGAAAAAAATGGGGGGTGAATTTTACAGAAATCAATTTGAGTCATTAACAGAAATGTTATGATACATAAACAACACAGAAAAATTTCAAATCCTTCTAAGCAGGGCAAGTCCTTCCCATTTCAGCTTGCCAACTCTTGGAATGCTTTCCACCTGGGGCTCGAGCCTCATCTCTCACCTGTGGAATTGGCCCTGTCTGAAAGGGACAGGGATGTGCCAACGGGCCACGGGCTGCCCGGGTGGTAGAGATGACTGCGAGCTGGAGAAGCGAGGCTGCTGGAGTGGAAATGATGGTGAGGGTTATCGAGGGGATGGATGGGATGGGCACTAATCACAGCTGTGGATGAACACAAGACAGAGAAGTGCTTAACATGCTTGCACGGACATACACAAGTCACAGTTCAAGAGCAAAGCCCCGCCCCCCTCCCATGCAGCACGACCATTCCCTTGGCTTCTGGGTGGCTGCTGGCTGCATGGGAACTAGTAGCCATGGATTTCACATTCATTTTTTTAAATCAACACGCTCCTATGCATGTAGCTCTCTCTCTCTCTCTCTATATAGATATACACACACACAGAAAAAACCTCTGAGGAATATGCACTGAAATGTTAATGGCATTATCTTGTGGGGAGGCATGGTCAGGAGTTAAAAAAAAAACTTCTTTTGGTGTATCTGTATTTCCCAATAAACATGGATTACATGAGTTATTAAAAATATCTATTTGAGTATGTCACAAAATATAAATCCATAAGCAAACAAATGATGGTTTAGGTTTCCTTCATTTTTTCTCCTGCTAAAAAAATAGAAGTTTCTTTTCCTTCAAGTATATTCCTAATATGTTGTTTTTTCTTATTGTTGAATGAGGCATGCAATATTTAAGCTGAATGGATGAGTAGCTGTTTAATCAGTTTTTCACATCTTAAAAGGGACACAAACAGACTGAACTCCTGTCCAGTAGGAAAAGCATGAAACACAGGCCTATGGCACCATCTCTTACTGCTTCTAGTCTGGGAGCTCAGCCACATCCATTCACATTTTAAAATATAAATGGATCTTTCCTAATTGCCTCCTTCCTTCTCACAATGGCTAAGGAATTACATTTGCTGCATTTTGTTAACGAATCCAAATTTCCACACAGATATTTCATATACAACTTTCTAAGAAGACAAAACACTTCTTTAATGAGGCTTCATTATCAATCCGAGAGATGCAAACAAACAAAATCAGAAGCCCCGTTGGGGAATAAGCTTCTCTTAGGTACTCCCTTAGAGTAGTTCTAGAAACAGAATGTTTAAGACCAACATGGACAGCTCTAAACCCATCAAAGAGGCAGAGGTGGGGCTGACTAGGAACACAGGGGACCTTTTTTTCCCCCTCTAAGCAAAGGCATCACACACTGTGATAACACTTCATAGCCTTTGGAGTCTATTAAATGTCTCTGTTACCAAGGATCTCCCTAGATGTCTGTGGGGCCTGGTGAAGAAAAATCCTAAGACGCTTTTATTCTCCAGTTATTTCCTGCCCTGGCCACTTGTCAGACAGGCAGGTGGCACAACCAACCAAGGGCCCTGGAGCATCCTGCCCCTTCCCTCCTTCAGGCCTGGGGAACAAAACAGGGGCTTTCCCTGCACTCAGAGACCAGAAGGCTCAGGTGGCCCTTTGGAATAAAATACAACTTGGAAAAGTTGGCAGAGGAGGTTCAGGGCAGTCTGGGAGTCAGCATCTCCTTTAAGGGAAGAAAGGTGGTCTTCTGAAGTGGGGAGCTTCAGCATCAGTATTTTCTAGATTTAAGGCCAGGGGGAACAGAAGAAGCCTCCTGACTTTTACCTAGGAAATACAACCTGAAAAGCATTCTAGGTATGCAGGACTCTAGCACAGAAAAATAAAACTGACTTTCTCTTTTTAAAGGCATTTCTAGTCTTTCCAAATTGGGTAAATAAAAAAGAAGACAATGTGAAAGGAGCTCCCTAGAATACGCTTGGCAGTCACTGGCTGTCAGCTGCCTGGGTCCTGGGCTTCTGAGCAAAGCCTTGTACAAGGCTGACTGAACCTCAGTCAATGCTGGCAAGTTCTCTCCCAGCAGTGCTCAGCTGCTGAAGGCCAGGCAGGTGGATAGTGGGACAGACTCCAGGGAACCCCCAGCTTGAGAAAAAGGACTGGAGCCATGTGTGGAAAAGGAGATCTCAAAACCTGAAGGTCACAAGCATATTGGAATACCTGGTTTCAGATTCTTGAATTAAAGATTCCATTCACTCGCCCAACTATTGAGGCACAAATTAAATAATACTGTTTATTTGTGTGTACTCCTTGCCCATCCCCCAAAAAAGAAAAAGAGAAAAAAAGAACTGATACCAACTGGTACAACATATCTTTTCTCCTTAACATTTAAAAATAAGCCAGTCCAGGTAAAAACTAAAATCTTACACAAAGCAAACAAGCAGTCAAGTTACCATCTTGCTATACATCAAACACAACTGGAATGGATTTACTCTTTTCAGATACTTATGTTTTTAGACCTGATCCCAGCCAGGGCACCTCTTATCAGAGGAAAACCATGTTTTTCCCTGCATGCTTCTAAGGTCAGGCCTTTCTTTTTTCATCACGGTCCCTAGTGCAGAAATGACCTGCTAATGAATCAGCCCTTTCTCTTTCAAAGCTGACTTTTAGAATCTAGTGCCTACATATCTGTGCACGGTGAGTGTGACAGTGTGTGTGTATGCATTTACACACCTGGGTGTTTCACCTGCTTCCAAGTACAGGAGGTCAGGGTTCCCTTCTTTGGGTGTAGTGTATCTGTGATTATTTAAATCTCTGCCACTTGTCGACAGAGAGGTGGCCGAGAGTTCTGAAATTGGACATCTTAAGAAATGAATAAAAAATTCAAAACCTCATTTAGGTTAAACTGAAAAATGATCTAGTGGATGCTTTCAGGATTTGAATCTAGGTACCTGACAGTGTTAAGGCTTACTGGGCATCTGTTCAGCTTACAGCAAATACTTCTGGTATAGAACTGAAAAAACTTGCTATCAGTAGGCAGGTGGCTTTTTCACCGTAGGATGGCACAGGGGACTCTTCCCGAAAGCCCCACCGTGTTAGCCAGTCTGAACAGCTTCCCTACCTTGAAAACAGTGACAAGGGAGAAGACATAGTAGTCTGAACAAAAGAATTGGTTTCTTTATTCATTGTTTTTTGGTTTTCAATCATGATATTTAACTTAGTTTGAATTTCAAATATTATTAAAGGAGGCCAGGTAACTTTTATGCCTATCAAAGTGAGGCATGGTCAAATAAGGTTGAAAAATTTTGTTTTAAAAACTCCGTCCTATAAACTTAAAAATCCTCTAAAATATAAAGTCCATTAATTAAAAAAATGACAGGTGCCCATCTACATTGAATGTGTATCAGGAAGTCTAAGGAACACTGTGATATCTGGCTATCCTCAGCTCCAGTTGGAAGGATGCTTCTCCATCCCTCCTGTAGAGATGCTGTGCATACTGTTAGGGGGATTGGTTACTTCTCTTTTCCTGGGAGACTGGGGTAGTTGGCTTTTTAGCTTATTTATCTCAAGAATAATGTTAATTGCAAAATATGAAAGTGTTTGGTATTTCCTGCTCAAGGTGCCGAAGCTTCAGCGGGTCATCCTTTGTGTCAGGATCATGTAAAGTCAAAGAGATCATTCGTATTCGTTCCCCAGGACGACTGGGTAGACTGACAGCACAGGGGAAATGAGAGGCTTTTAACTTACGCTGGGGTGGCTGGGAGTCAAAGGGCATCATCATTTTTGGTCTCATTCCCCGCCTTCCAGCCAGTGTAGACATGCTGTCCTCTGATTCATGCCCTAGACATCAAATATAGAGGTTAGTTATAAGCATGTGCCCTAGGCCACTAAGCAGCCTCAGCAGCAAAACATTTGCAGTGGGGGTTCAGGACTCACAAACAACATAATGGGGACAAGGTGTTTCTGCAGGAAGTGAAAAAAGAGGAAAAGGATCAGCAGTCTCTGTTGAGAGTCAGTGCAGTTGACACAATGCTACCCACCATGCTTCCATGTGGTGTTTGTGAGTTAGAGCATCCAGACCAAGAACATTCTGAACACCACAATGAGAGGTGGACTCCAAATGGAGGGAGAGGATGAAATGTACGGACATAGGCTAGGTTGTCTCAAATGCTTCAGTATCAGATAGTTGGTGACACATGAGAAGAGACCTAACAGATCTAGAAGGTTGTCTCATCTGGGTACAGAACCTCTCCCCCATAACAAGCTATTTTCTCCCCAAGCTATCTATTCTTTATCAGATGTTGACCAAATCCCACAACACACGTTTCTTTAAACCTAACCTCACACAGGAATCACCAAATTCAGGCAACTGTAGGAAATGGAAAATGATTTAAATGGAAATAGTTTTCCCACATTTGGGGACAACCTGCACCTCTATATGAATTCCGCCTTTGATGGATGTTGCTGTCCATGGAATTGTCAACTGGTGTGATATCTTGAGAGTTACGAGGAATTGGAGTATCAGTCATGATGGGGTTTGGGTCTGGAGATTTATCGATGGGTTTCAGCTCCAGTCTCTCATGATGGATCCAGAGGTCCGGGGGTTTGACATCTTTGGAGTTCCCTTTGTACTTGTGGGAGCCATTCACTGATTTGCAAGCAGCTCGTTTCCTAGGCACAAATTTAAGAGTTTTTTTTTTTTAAAGTAACTCTTTTGAACTTATTTGTGAAAAGGCTTAAATGATTAAAAGTGCCCTCTGAGAGATGCCTCAAGCAAAGGCAGAAACTAAAAATACATAAAAAAAAAAACAAGAGAAAACAGAGGCAACAAGTTTACTTTTGGAAACAGTAAATGTATCTCTGCTTTGTCCACACATACTTAAAGATACATACAAGGGCATATTTGACTACTGCCTTGTGACCATTTTTTTTTATTATTATTATCAACAGACTAGACAGCATTTTATTTTATTTATTTTTTTTAAAGATTTTTATTTATTTATTTGACAGAGAGAGATATAGCGAGAGAGGGAACACAAGCAGGGGGAGTGGGAGAGGGAGAAGCAGTCTTCCCGCCGAGCAGGAGGCCCGATGAGGGGCTCGATCCCAGGGCCCTGGCATCATGACCTGAGCTGAAGGCAGACGCTTAACGACTGAGCCACCCAGGCACCCCTAGACAGCATTTTTAAAATTAAGTTATCTCTAAAGCAGAAGGTTTCTCCTCAAGTTCCAATCAATAGAGAAAGAACATTAGAAGTATAACAACAGTATAGAGGTAGAGTCTGTAGCTTATAAAAGAGGAAGGGAAACATTTCAGGTAGCCCAAACCTAGGACTGCCAAATGGGTAAAGTCAAGAATGTGGATGACAGTGTTTACTTCTCTGTGCCTTAATTTCTCCATGCACTCACTCACACTCACTCACCCATTCAATATGAATTTGTTAGGTACCCACTGAATGTCAGTCAATCCCTTGTACTGGACTGCTATGCCCTCAGCATTTCTGGTCAAGTGAGGATGACAGATGTTGATCTCATTATTTTAAAATATTTTGAGCTTAATGAAATGCCAAGTGTTATAGTTACTTCTTAATAGTTGGCATAAAGTGGCTAGGACAAACCTGGAGAAAGAGGGGATACTGAAGTTAAGACTTAATGGAGGAAGGGCAGAAGATGCTTTCCAGGTGATGAAATCAGCTTATGTCAAAGCCTTGAAGCAGAGCACAATAGCCTGGGATATCAGAGGGCCTGTAAGAAGTCCTGAGTGGTGGAAGCATAGTGAACCATGTGGAGAATGATATGAAATGATGCTGGAAAGGTAGCCCAGATCATAAAGAGCTTTTAGAGACATGCCAAGAGTTTAACTTCCCTCTATGAGTAATGAGAAACCACTACATGGTTTCAAGCAGGACGCTAAGGAGATCAATTCTGAGTTAAACATTTATACCAACTGTGGTGTGAAGAATGGATTTATGGGGTGGGGGACAGAACAGGAGACCAGCTAGGATGCTACTGCATCAGTCTTAGCCATGACTGATGGTGGTCCAGGATAGTGGGATGGAGAAAAGAGGCAGATCTGATAGCTATTTAGGAGGCAGAAATGACAAGACTTGGTGAATAACTGATGTGGGGTGGGGTGGGAGTAAAGAAGCAAGTGGAGCAGGCGATGTTGAAAGGTCTGAGGCTAAGCCATTTACTAACATTGGAATTAATGGGGTAGAAGCAGGCTTGACAGAAAAGATTATAAATTCTGTCTTAAACATGGTAAGTGCCTCTGAGACAGTCAAGAGGAAATGTAGAAGAGGCAACTGAGCGTGCAAGTCTGAGACTCAGAAGAGAGGCTGTGGCCAGAGATAGAAACACAGAAGTAACAGGAATGCAGACAGTAAATGAAGCCATGGGAGTAGATATCACCGGGGGAGAGCAGAGAAGGAGAAGTAAGTCTAGGATCAGGTCCTGCAGAAGGTTTGATGGCTGGGTAGACAGGATGAGCTGTGAAAGAGAACATACAATTATGACATACAGGAGAAGAGAATGTTTCAAGAAGGAAGGAGTAGTTGAATTAAATATTGTTGAGAGATTAAGCCAAGGATTAAAAAGTGTCTGCTGTTTGACAAAATACAGCATCCTTTCCTGATTAAAACTCTTCAGATAGAGGGAATATTCCTCAATTTCATAAAATCCATCTATGAAAAACCCACAGCGAGTATCATCCTCAATGGGGAAAAGCTGATAGCCATTCCCTTAAGATCAGGAACACGTCAAGGGTGCCCACTCTCACCACTGTTGTTCAACATAGTACTAGAAGTCCTAGCAACAGCAATCAGACAACAAACAGAAATAAAAGGTATTCAGACTGGCAAAGAAGAAGTCAAACTCTCTCTTCGCAGATGACATGATACTTTATGTGGAAAACCCAAAAGACTCCACCCCCAAATTACCAGAACTCATACAGCAATTCAGTAATGTGGCAGGATACAAAATCAATGCACAGAAATCAGTTGCTTTCTTATACACTAACAATGCAACTGTAGAAAGAGAAATTAGAGAATCAATTCCATTTACAACAGCACCAAAACCATAAGATACCTTGGAATAAACCTAGCCAAAGAAGTAAAGGTCTATACTCTAGCAACTACAGAACACTCAAGAAAGAAATTGAAGAAGACACAAAAAGATGGAAAAACATTCCATGCTCATGGATCGGAAGAATAAACATTGTTAAAATGTTTATGCTGCCCAGAGCAATCTATACATTCAACGCCATCCCGATCAAAATTCCAATGACGTTTTTCAAAGTGCTGGAACAAACAATCCTAAAATTTATATGGAATCAGAAAAGACCCCAAATCACCAAAATGTTGCACAAGAAAAACAAAGCTGGGGGCATCACATTGCCAGATCATGCTATGTTACAAAGCCGTGATCACCAAGACAGCATGGTATTGGCACAAAAACAGACACAGAGATCAATGGAACAGAATAGAGAGCCCAGATATGGACCCTTAACTCTATGGTCAAATAATCTTCACAAAGCAGGAAAAAACATGCAATGGAAAAAAGACAGTCTCTTCAATAAATGGTGCTGGGAAAATTGGGCAGCCACATGCAGAAGAATGAAACTCAATCATTCTCTAACATCATACACAAAGATAAACTCAAAATGGATGAAAGACCTCAATGTGAGACAGGAATCCATCAAAATCCTAGAGGAGAACATAGGCAGTAACCTCTTTGACATCGGCCACAGCAACTTCTTTTAAGATACATCTCCAAAGGCAAGTGAAACAAAAGCGAAAATGACCTTCTGGGACTTCATCAAGATAAAAAGCTTCTGCACAGCAAAGGAAACAGTCAATAAAGCAAAGAGGCAACCCACAGAATGGGAGAAGATATTTGCAAATGACACTTTTACAAAGGGCTGATATCCAAGATCTATAAAGAACTTCTCAAACTCAACACCCAAAAAACAAATAATCAAGTCAAAAAATGGGCAGAAGACATGAACAGACACTTCTCAAAAGAAGACATACAAATGGCTAACAGACACATGAAAAAAATGCTCACATCACTAGCCATCAGGGAAGTCCAAATCAAAACCACACGGAGATACCACCTTACACCAGTTAGACTGGCAAAAACTGACAAGGCAGGAAACAACAAATGTTGGAGAGGTTGTGGAGAAAGGGGAACCCTCTTACACTGTTGGTGGGAATGCAAGTTGGTACAGCCACTTTGGAAAACAGTGTGGAGATTCCTCCAAAAATTAAAAATAGAGCTACCCTATGACCCAGTAATTGCACCACTGGGCATTTACCCCAAAGACACAGATGTAGTGAAAAGAAGGGCCACATGCATCCCAACGTTCATAGCAGCAATGTCCGCAATAGCCAAACTGTGGGAAGAGCCGAGATGCCCTTCAACAGATGAATGGATAAAGAAGACGTGGTCCATATATACAATGGAATATTACTCGGCCATCAGAAAGGATGAATACCCAACTTTTACATCAACATGGATGGGACTGGAGATTATGCTAAGTGAAATAAGTCAAGCAGAGAAAGTCAATTGTAATATGGTTTCACTTATTTGTGAAACATAAGGAATAGCATGGGGGACATTAGGAGAACGAAGGGAAAAATGAAGGGGGGTAAATCAGAGGGGGAGATGAACCATGAGAGACTATGGACTCCGAGAATTAAAATGAGGGTTTTAGAGGGGAGGGGCATGGGGGGATGGGTTAGCCCAGTGATGAGTATTAAGGAGGGCACATATTGCATGGAGCACTGGGTGTTATACAGAAACAATGAATCGTGGATCACTACATCAAAAACTAATGATGTATTACTGTATGGTGACTAACATAACATAATAAAATAAAGTAAAATTCGAAAAAAGTCTGCTGGCTTTAACAATATGGAGGTCATCAATCCTCAGCAAAAGCAATTTTGGTAAAGTGGTAGGAGCAGAATCCAGATTAATAAGAACTGAAGCATAAGTAGGCAATGAAAGAATGGACGAGTGTATATTGTAATCAAGAAATTGTGTGGTGAAGGGAAAGATGGGTTTGTAAACAGCCGAGAACCATGCAGTAGCGTTATAATTATAATGATTTCTTAAGATGAAAGAGGTGTGAACACACTTGCCTGCTGAAGGGACAAAGCCAAGAGAGTGAAATGTTAGCTGTGCTGGAGGGGGTAACAGCAAGTATAAGGTCTTAGAAAGATGAGAGCCACTGAGATCCAGAGGATAAATGGAGAACTGGCTTCCGGTAGGAGGAAGTACACCGAAGAAGTTTTTGGATCACACGATGGTACCCGGAGGTAGTTCTCACCTGCTGAGGGTGAGGCCGCTAATGAGGAACGTGTTGAGAAGCAACGAAGGGCTAGGCCCTAAATGCTCGGTCAACTTTGAGTTTGTAAGAGTCTATAAGCCCTTACAATTGAAATGGGAGGCACTTCAGGTATCAGAGAGGAAAAAAAGTATTAAGAAAAGCTCACACATATTTTTCAGTGGTTCATGGAACGCCTGGAAAGATGGTCGTTGAGAGAGGGAGAGGGAAAGCCCCATGAAGACTCGACAAAATTCTTTTAAGCAAAAGGACTCAAATCTGTAGGATTTGCAGATTCAAAGTACAGAGCCTATTACCAACTCAGTTTTCTACCTCCCAATCTGAAGAAGTACTTTATTTTTTATTTATTTTGAATTTTAAATCCCCCAAAGCACTAAGGAATTCCATCACTTTGTTTTTTTTTAGATTCGTTTAAATAAAGAGATCAAGATTTCTGAAACTAGATATAAAACCAAGTTCATAAAAGTAGGTACATTTGAAATGCTGAACAAAGAACCTTGCAGACAAGTTCTAGAGTAGAAATAACATCATTGCTGACACGTTTAAGAGAAACAGTTTTTCATAATCAAAAGGAGGCAGGGAAAGGTGTAAGAGGCAGGGATCAGGAAGCTTATAAAGGAGCCCCCCCCCCCCCCCCCCCACGGCCATTGCCTTGGAAAAGAGATGCAACACAAGCTATAGGAAGCTATTTTGTTTGGGCAAAGAAAGATTAAAAGCCTCACGTAACACCAAATGACAAAGCCATCACTAGAGGCAGCAACAGGGTAGTCTGTACTTGTCTATATGAAAACAAACAAATGTGTTTTGAACACATGCATCTTGCCTTGGGCAGACCAAGTCTGAGGGATAATCACAAACACTGACGAACTTGTATTTCTCTTTTATGGAGCAATATCTCCATCTTATGATCTTTTAGGATACAGCAATTAAAGTCATTTTATTGCCCATAGGTGTTTTTTGCTATTAGGGGTAATTCAGGAATCTTTTTATTTTTTTGGTATCTGTCTCGCTGGCCAGATACTATATGTGAGTTGAAAGTGGTCTAGGGTCAGGGACTCTCTCAAGTTTAGGAGCACAGGCTGTTATCAAGCAGTATTATAACTGAAGCACCTCGCTATTTGCTCTAGACAATTACCACAACTCTCAATATCCTAGAGGAGTTCAGAGCTGGCAGTCATTCGATCCCTCATTATAAATGAGCCTTTCTTATTCACTAAATCAGTATCTCCCCACTGACCCCCAACCTGTCCCTGCCAGTCCTAACCTCAACTTCCACACCTGGTAGCACTTCTTGAAACATATTCTTTTCTTTTTTCTTAACGGATTTTACAATTTATTTTAGAGAGAGAGCCCACATGGAGCAGGGGGTGGGGGGAGGAACAGAGTAAGAGGGAGAGAGAAACTCAAGCAGACTCTGCACTGAACATGGAGCCTGACGTGGGGCTCAATCTCACGACCCTGAGATCATGACCTGAGTCGAAATGAAGAATCAGATGTTCAACCAATTGAGACACCAAGGCGCCCTTTGGAAAATATTCTTAAACTTAGATGTAGAGTTAAAGGTCTGTGGTCTTCTTCCATTTCAGGTAGCATTTGTGCAGTGAAAAAGCCTGTAAGAATGCCCATAAACTCCTGTGCATCTGGTTCACCTTGTGCATATACAAACAGTACTCCAAAACAGCTACCGGCAAGGCTGGGCTAGACACAGTCCACTTCCCTTGGCAGATCTATTCTCTACGTGGCTCTGTGACTCGAGAGGTTGAGTTAAATGACCTCTATCTGCTTTACTTGGCAACCCTGCTCCTAGCTTCCGATGGGTTTGGCCAACTGAAGAAACAGGCAAGAGACTGGAGAATAGGAGGTGTTTTTATCCTGTCCCCTCCCTGTGGGGCTAAGGGGCTGGCAGAGTCCACCTTCCTCCCACCACACCCAGCTCCTGTCAAGCCTTCTCCTACTGCTTCAGACCTCTGAACACAGCTCTCTCTTCTTCAGAAAGACCTCTTGCCCTTTCAGGCCTAAGGGTGACAGTGGCCTATCATGGCTGCTGGTCCTTGAACGTCTCTGCCTTGTCTCCTAACCCCGTCTATGACTCTGTAAATGGTCTCTTCATTAAACTTCCTTCTACCCCTCTTGAGTGTGCATCTCCTTCCTGCCAGAACACTGATCCACATTTACAGGAAGAACCATTCTGCCTTTCCCTTAAAAATATTTAAAACATCACTTTTCATGTACAGTTAACCCTTGAACAACATGGGACTGAACAATGGGGGTCCACTTACACACCGACTTTTTAAAAAGTTTTTTTTTAAATTCCAGCTAGTTAACATACAGTGTAATATTATTTTGGGGTGTACAATAAAGTGATTCAACACTTCCATACATTACCCAGTCCTCACAACAATGCACTCCTTAATCCCCTTCACCTATGTCACCCATCCCCCCACCCACCTCCCCCCTGGTGACCATCAGTGTCTAGAGTTAAGAGTCTGTTTCTTTTTTTCCCTTTGCTCATTTGTTTTGTCTCTTAAATTCTAAACGAGTAAAAAATATGGTATTTGTCTTTCTCTGACTAATTTCACTTAGTAATAGTCTCTAGCTCCATCCATGTAGTTGCAAATGGCAAGATCTCCCTCTTTTATACGGCTGAGTAATATTCCATTGTATATATAAATATCACATCATATACCATTTCCCCCCTCATATCTAGGGTTAGCGTTAGGGCCAGCGTGAGGGTATGTACCTAATATCCTGCAATTCAGAGACCTCTCTGGAGGGTTACATTTATTGGTTAGGGTTTGGGTTAGTGTATGTGCCTAATATCCTACAGTTCAGAGATCTCACCAGAGAATAAAACCCCAGACTTCTGCTTGGGCAGGAACAGACATGGCTGCCATCTACTGGGCTGAGGCAAGGAAGGGATTTGGGGCTCTAAATACTCTTTAAATAGATATTCAATTGTTCCTTCTGTTTTTATCTTTACCTTTATACCCATTTTCAGAAATATCACCAATTCTTAAATATTTGGGGTCTTCTCCAGAATAACTAGGCTGCTTCTCAGCTTTTCTTATCATGTGTTCAGGAACTCACTTTTCAGATCTAGGATTAAGGTTAGGAGGGCCAGGGTGAGGGTATGTGCTTGGTATCCATGTGTGGACTCTTTTTGATAAATACAGTAAAGCACTGTAAATGTATTTTCTCTTTCTTATGATTTTCTTAATCATTTTCTTTTTTCTAGCTTTTTTGTAAGAATACAATATATATATATTTTGTATATAATATACATATATTATACATATATGTATATATGTTATATATAATATATAACACACAAAATAGGTGTTAATCAACAGTTTATGTTATCAGTAAGGCTTTCTGTCACTAGTAGGCTATTAGTAGTTAAATTTTGGGGGTCAAAATTTATATGCAGATTTTTGACTGCATGGGGGGGGCCAGCCCCCTAATCCCCACATTGTTCAAGGGTAAACTGTACTGTATGTTTTTATCTCTTTGTACAACTCCAAATACAGAAGTCACAGAGGAGCAAAAGAATAGATAGCAAAAATCACGGGCTACATTTGGGGCTCCTTACTTTTTCTGGTGAGAGGTGGTGCGCCTGGTGCAAAAGACAGCGATGACCACAACCACCACAATGGTGACGACGCCAACCGAAACAATGATGACCAGCAGCATGCTACTGTCCAGGGGAGAGGTGGGGCTTCCATGTGGGCTGTTACTACCTGTAGAGGGAAAACCGGTGCATTTGTTAGTGTTCAAGAATTCCACAAATGCATACACTCAAGAGTATGGAAACTTCATGTGAGAGTCTCTGTAATAAACTCGTTGCCTTGGATACAAGTGTCTCATGTAATCTGGAGAGCCAAGTTTATGCACTATGTACAGTTCTTAACACAGTGCCTCGCACAAAGCTGGTGTTCAGTAAAAGCTTCTCGAATTATACTGAACATTATACTTGGACAAATAAAGGGTCTGCCCCTCCACCCGCCCCAGGGTCTTATGTTATATTATGCATACATTTGTCTTATAAAGCACCATTTGTAAATAATTTAGTTTTCTGACTTTCAAAAGCATTTAAAAAATGTACAGTCATAGAAAGCTAAAGTTTTCCCCCACATATAGATGTCTGAGATCACAAAAACTACTTGAAAAATATAGTCTGCTTATATAAATATAGTCTTTGCAAAGTTAATTCTCTTATTCAGCTTCAGGGAAAAGTAGGTCTGTACATATGCATTAATTTGACAAATATTTACTGAGTAGTTACTATGTGCCAGGCATTGTTCTAGGTACTAGGAATGCAACAGTGTACAACAAGGATGTGACTGCTGGGGTAGGGGCAGAAAATAAACAAGTGAGAAATTACTAGTAATAAGTGCTATGAAAAAAATAAAAAGAGGGGATATGATACCATAGATAGCTGATGTCTTTCCTTCCAGTTATTCTCTCTCTCCTATACAATAGTCAGATCTGTACAATAATGGATGGGCTGCCTTACAAAGTAATGAGTGTTTAGTTTCTACAAGTGTTTAAGAAGAATCACTCTACCAGTATGGGAGATTGTGGAAGAAATTCCTAAGATGAAGCTATGGCTTGGGAATCTGTTTTTTAGAAAAGCTCCTAAAGTGATTCCTAAGTACAACCCTGGTTTATAAATTTATGATCTAATTCAAAGTACACTTATTGTGGGAACCCCTTCCAAAACACTGCATTAGCTGACCTTCCAACTTCTGATTGTATGATTTTTATTGGCCACATCTAAGCACAGTGCTAAATCTGGGCTGATTTAGGAGGGCTTAAGAGCTTATTCTTCTCCATTTGGTTCAATCATTTTTATTCCTCATTTCTGAGAAAAAAGTAAGCAGACAGACAACTTAAATTGTCCATACCGACCTTTAATAATACAACATTTTTATATTTGGGAAAGACTACAGAACTAGGGGCCAATAAAATTAGACCACATTGGGGCTTTCCATACACCTTTTATTAACAGCAGTGCTGAGTTACTGGGTAGGGTGTGTGGCGAGGCAGGCACTGCAAATCAGAGGCTGGGGAGCTGGGGTGTGGGGACAGCAGAGGTGGTGGTGGCAGCTCTTTCCAGAGATGAATTCCCACTTAACTGCATTTGACCTCTAACTTCTGAGAGGACCAAAAGCTCCCATGGAAGACAGAGTAGGAATGATCTGCCGCAGGAGCATGTCCTGCTGGGGACATTATGACAGGCCACTACTCAAGCCTCATCTGGACTGCTGCAACAGCTTCTTAACCACTCTCTCTGACATCATCATCTCAGCCCCAACTCATTCTTCATTCACCAGAGTAATTACACTTGGTACTCAATAAATGGAGGTCACAGTTCGCCCGTGGTACAAGGCGTCTTACACGTGTTATGTGCAGGATGAAGCTCACATTTCATAGTTTTGGTACCTGAGCTTTTGGCAGGCTGGTTCTAACCTACCACCTTCTCTAATGTGAGAATTCCTAGCCTGTCTCCAGGCAGTGTGATCCCTGGAGAGAGCCGGCTGTTTTTTGCTGCCATGCATTTGCACGTGCTGTTGGTGCTTCCTGAAATGTTCAACCCCCCTGCCCCGTGACATTTAGCCATCTTCCACGCATCCTTTCATATCTGGGTCAGACACCTCCTCTTCTATGAAGCTTTCCCTTTTCCCTGTCAGCTGCTTTGTTACTCCTTTTGCTTCCATACATAGCCTGTTACATAGAACCTGAACCTTTATAAACACATGTGAATGAATGAATGTATAAATGAAAGACAAGGAAACAACTGCTCTTCTCAGAGCCTTGAGTATTATACTGTGGACAGCACATAAATATAATACACACATCCCAGGAGGAAAAGCGCAGTCCTAGAACTCAGGCCAGGACTCAGATTCCCACATCTGGTACAGAACCCCAGGCCTTTTAGGCTGCGTGTGATAGTGGAAAAGTCACAATCAGGAGTCAGAAATCTGGATTTTGGTTCCAGGACTTGCATAATTAGTGGGTGGATCCAGGCACATTACTTCTCCACCACTGAGTCTCTTAATGTATAAAACGGGAATATCTGTTCTCCGTGCTTCAGTGTTATGAGGATCAAATGTAATTTCAGGTGTGAAAGTAACTTATAAACAGTGAAGTTCTGTAGAGAAGTAGGTGCCATCATCAAGGAATTAGAAGGCACCAGCTCTTAAGCTGGCTAGGAGAGTGGGAAGAATTTTTTAGAATTCCCAAATTAAAACACTGTGGTAAGCAGTATGGGGAGAAAGTCATGATTCTAAAGCATTTCTTTGGCTTGTTGTAGGTGATGGATAATCCTATTAGAGAGTTTATTTTTGAGAGCAAGATTCTAATTCTTTTCTAGAGGCAGGCAGTGGGCAAAAGACTGATTTGTTTAGAATTAATCTTATTAAAGTTGGATATGTGGAGAAATAATTTTATTTATGGATCTTATAGTGAATGGGTTTGCAGTAATTCAGCAAATTTTTGCCAGAAAATGCCTAAAGGTAACTACTAAATAAAAGGAAATAGGTTAACATGCTACAACCCACCACAAAGAAGCTACAAAAGGCATTTCGAGATTCAAGCGGAACCATGTCATGCCCACAGTGGGCCAAAAAAGCCATAAGAAGGACTTTACCACTCATCGGAGGTTTGTAGTCAGATCCTAGGTCTGGCAGCCGGCTTCCTTTTCCTGCAGAACCTGAGGCTGAAGGAGAAGAAATCATGTCAGTAATGACTCAAGCCATTGGTGTGATGAGTCCACTTCACAGCTAGTGAGTGTTTTCTACAAAAAAAATATTTTCAGTCTACTCTGTCCATGAGAAAATGAAGTAGCACATAAACAACAGGGGACAAAATAGGCTGTGCAAAGCAAACTAAGGTATAGCTTTCTATGCAATGAGGCATCTGAAAGGCTGACACTCTCGGTCCACGGCTGTATCTAGCATGGAACTAGACTGCCACTTGCTGTTCGTGAGGTGGGAACACACCCATTTCTCTCGCCCAGGAAACCGTTTCTGCAAGACCGCTCAGAGCACTTATGGCAAAAGTAGCTTCTCTCAGAAAAGGAACCAAGGGCCCAGTTAGGTTGGCTTCTGCATTACAGAAGTGGACTTTTCCAAAGGACCCGGCTACATTGATCTCCTAGTAGGTGTCAGTAGTGTTTGGATTTTTTCCTCAAATTATAAAGTTGCCTTTTCCAATATAAAGATACCCTAAGCAGTAGCAAGAAGACACGTGGAAGTTCAAATTGGGTTCTCGGTTCCTGCTCAGTTACCCAAATACCCAAGCATGGAAAAACAAAGTCTCCCCTCTTGTTGCTCACAGAGGACACTCTCTCCTAATCCACTGTCATAAAATACAATGAGTGAGGCTGCCGATCTTAGGCTTGGGACCACCTCACAAACAGATTTCATAAAACACAAAGATCAGCTTTTCAGTAATCCATATTCTTGGTCCTGAATTTTGTTCACATTTATAGAAAAAGCGGCTTGGGTAAAGCAAATATAAGGAACCCGTTCCCAATATAGCAAGGGTATCCATCAGTCCAAGGTTTGGAGTCCTCCTGAAGAAGTCTGAAAGAATTGCAAAGTCAAAGCTGCTCCTCATGGTTAATATAGCACACTGCCTTCACTTGAACACTGGCCTATCATGTACTTGACTTCTGGCAAGTCATTTATTAACTTTGGGTCTCAGTTTCTTCATCGTAAAGCAGTGATAATAATGGTGTCTACTTCACAAAAATGTATTGAGGATTAAAAGGAAACTTACTCCTATAAAATATTTTGAATACCGCCTGACACATAGCAAATGTTCATCAAATATTAGCTGCTATTATTACATACATAATGAATCTTTAGGGAAGAATACAACCTTCCCCTTTGCAGAGGCACAGAGCATGAAGCTTCAGAAAACACTTATAAATAATTATTTCTACAAATAAAGCTTGACTAGAAATGCATAAAATGTTTCTATAAAACATTACAGCCAATGTCAAGTACTTCTATAAATTATCAGAGTTGGACTAAATGAAAAATTAAATTCTGAATATTTCTATATATAGTTCATTTAACAGAATAAATAGAGAGATGAAAACAATGTTTTCTGTTTCCAGAAGCTCAAAACTCCCAAAGTAACAGAAGTTGTTGGGTGTCCAAAAGGGCATATTTAACTCAGTCCCCAATCCCTTTTCAGTTGTCCATACTTGTTCCTTTATCCCCTTACTTCCATGGCCATCATTGTTCCCAAATGGCACATAGCCTATGATAGGATTCCAGTTGTTCTTTTCACTGGGATGAAGTCTAGTTGAAGGAGACGACTGAGCCCTTGTAAGGCTCTTCAGACTTAAGGGTGCTTATTTTTCAGGTAGCCACATGTAAGCCCAACTATCATATTATGTAAATAATTGCCAAAGAATATACTTTGCCAATAAACTGGTTGGTTTAATTCCTCTATTTCCCAGCATTTTTGCTTTTAAACATAACCTATGAAGAAGAAATTCCAAGGATTAACCAAACACCAAAAAAAACTACGGGTAAAGAATTTTAAAGGCCAGAGGTGTGGTGCAAGTTAAGACTTGCACTCTGGCTTATCCAGTGAAGTGCAGGAAAAACAATGAGCACATTTATACTCTGTGCATACACAGTATCGTTATTTTTCTGTTCTCCCACTTAAGTCAAAATGTCTACCATCACTAGGGCGCCTTACACATACACACAAGCACGTTTACATTTTCTCCAACATACAACAAAAGACTCATTGAGTGCAAATACATTTCCAAAGCCCTGAAACATGCAACCTCAAGTTCTGACTCTTCCTTGCCATTAACAAGATCCAAAGACTTTTTCTTTCTTCTTCTTTTTAAAGATTTTATTAAGTAATCTCTACTTGCAACATGGGGCTCAATTTCACAACCCCAAGATCAAGGGTTGCACGCTCCACCGACTGAGCCAGCCAGGCACCCCAAGACTTTTTATTTCTAAAGACTACTCTTAAACCTTGAAAGCAACCAACAACTTTACTTCCACAGATACCAACTCTAGCTGACTCCCCAGAGATGAAAACCACAGTCCAGTTACCTCTCCACCATAGCAATAACAGTGGAAAAACTGTTGACAGACAATTTCGCGAATGGTGACACTGAAGCCTGTACTTCCTAAGTTTCCATTTTAAATTGTTTCTATCTCTTTTAAAACGAGCAGATATATTTAAGGGAAGAAACAGAAAAAGAGCTCTGAATTAAGCTTATTTAACAGAATAAATAGCACTAATTTTGTCACAGATAATCACATAATTCAGTAGGGTAAGTCTGTAGATTCTTGGTGAGGGGAGGAAAATAGGGTATTTGCTGAATTTGATTACAACTTTTCATTTAGAGATACTAATGCAATCCTAGATGCCACAAATATGACAAATTGGTATGCTTGTTCTCATACTGGTCCAAATGCCTATCACTGTTACAGAGTTTCAGTACCTTAGCACAGAGGACAAACTGGCCCACACTTAAGGCCAATCTACAACTGCAGAACTCCGTTTACTCTCCTCAGTTTTTCCCTTGCCTATTTAGCCCCTAAGTCGATTCCCCAGCTTTTCAGATACCCCAAGTGCCACAAACATGGACTCAACTCCACTTTGGCCAATGAATAATGTGGATTTTAACATACAGGACTGATTTTCAGGAAAAAAAAAAAAGAAACAAAAACAACAAAAAGCTAATAATAATAGGTTACAAAAGAGAGGAAAGGAGAGAGAGGCCATCTACTGATTTACCTTGATCATTAGGCATTTTATCAGAGGAGTCCGCTAACAGGCCAAGCACAGGGGGAGAAAAAACAAGAGCAAGGATCACAAGCTTTGAAGGTGGGACAGGCAGAATTTTTAAAGGAAAAAAATAAAACCCCACAAACTTCCAAACAAATCGAGTCTTATTTTCAGTACTAACAGAAAAGAAATCCATACATGGTTTCTACATTTCCACATACTCAGTCCCCAACTAAATGTTATTCCTAGGCTCACTTGGTTCAGTACTTTACCTTCACTTTCTTATCTAGAGTTTTCTTCAGAGCTCCCCTGTTAGTGTCTTTCTCTCTACAAAGGTCCACGAATAAGCCTTTCAGGTTAAGAGCCTGCATGTGTTGAAAGGGAATCATCCATCACAATAACATGCTATTACTCTACCTGAGAACCAAGAGAATCACATCTGATCTGACTGGTAAAAACTCTGAGATCACTGCAATCCACCTGCCTTGAACAGCCTTGTTTGTGGTATGGTTAGGCCAGTAACCTAGGGAGCACTGAGTTGGTGGTCAGTGGGTGGGTGAGGGATCATTTTGAGATAAATGTTCACACTGTGGCTCATAAGCTCATCATCAGGGCTTCTTATATTATAGTCTCCATAGTCTCTATATGCTAAAGTGATATGTGCAAGCATTGCCCCACTAAAGAGACATAGAATAAAATGCTGTTTAGTGGAGATTTACCTTTAGGTGTTCTGAATTGGACAGCTTCAGACATGGGCCCCATGCCCTTTGAGTTTCGGGCTTGGATTTTGAAGTAGTACGGTGTGTCAAGTGTTAACTCTTGTATCTGGTGAGTCAACCTGTTTCCCACAACAGGCTCAATAACCCAGTCGTGTATCTCCGCATTCACATCCGTACTATAATATATGATATAACCTGTCCAAAGGAGGAAATGAGAAGAGATACCTTATTCCTACCTTTTCTTTTCTTAAGTCAATAAAGATATCTGTTATAGCATATACAAGTAGAGAACCACTTACTCATTAAAGACCAACAGTAAAATGCATTCAAAATGCTACACTGAACATCATAAAGAGAAAACCACAATTTCAACAGTGCCAGGTTACAAGTTATCATCTATATCAGTAGTTGAAGCAATAAAAGTAGTTATGATAATAATATAGGGTTAAGAACTCTCAGAAGCTAAGAAATATAAGGAAAACAATCCAATCATTTCAACATCTTAATATTTGAATAATGTACCCATCAAGGGTCTACGATTAAAATAACGCACTTCTGAAAACCGACACTGGCCCAACGTGCTGTTTAGCTCTCAGCAATGTGATTTCCCAGAAGAAAAACTCCTGGGAGACCTGGGGATGTGGGCAGTACCTTTATTAAAGCTCTCCCAGACTTGAAGTGGGTGAAGTCACAGTGAAACATCACCTGATACTCCCACCAGGGGGCACTCAGTCTCCATGTTTGAGGCAAGAACAGACACCCACATGCCTACTTGACCTACACAGCACAAAAATGCACTGATGGCATCATTACTGGTTTTTGAAGACAAAATAAAATGTAATCCAAGTCATGCTTCAATCTTTTACAGAACAGGCAAGTTCAAAAACCTAAAAAAATGACACCAGGGATTTATGGGAAGGAATTCTAATTGCAAGTTGAAGCAAGACAATATTAAGAAATGCTTTCAGTTTCCTTATTCATACAAAGGAACATCAGAAAGCAAACTCCTGTTCCTCAGGATACACCTACATGGAGCAGAGGTTCCAAGGAGAATAATTAACAGCTAAATCCCAGGCTATCAGGCTTTCCTCCCTGATAAAGCTGAGGAAAGCATAGTGTCCTCTACTGTGGAAAGTTCTTTGGAAGTCCAAGGAAAAATCCCAGGCCCCTTCAAAGGCCTAGGCCAATTCAAACTTCTAACTCTAGTGTTAGAGCACAGGAAGCTGAAGTAGCAGGCCTGGGGGAAAAACGGAATTAAATGTCTAATGAACTTTTTGGGGCTTCAGGTTAAAAGAGATGAATCTGTATTTACTGGGTACTACACCCTGTAGAATGAGGCAGGTTCTTTAACTCCCAAGGTGATTATTTAGTCAGAGGCAGAGAAGAACAGCTTTTCTGATGAAAAGAAGTATGTCCAAAAGGTCCCACTGTAGCCAAAGACTGTCTAATGTAACAACACCCATCAGACTTTCACTCAGTGAGTCAGAACAACCAACTGGCAATTCATGTTTACGTTAATATGAGCAAACAGCACCCCCTTGGTCCACTTTCAAGGACCATCATGACTCCTTGCGCCTCATAAAATGATCAAGCCAACTTTGGACTCCCACTTCTCCCAACCACACAGTACTGGGCTGGAATGCTTCTGCCCGACTGGAACAGAGAACAGATACACACTCAAAGGCATCTTACCCGTAATTTTGCCATTGGCTTCTGAGGGAGGTTGCCAATTTACAATTATCGTCCTAGGTTTTCCCTCTTTACTCACAACTGTCACATCCTTGGGTGGAGAAGTAGGAACTACAAAATAATAAGATTTTCAATAATTCCTGTCCATTCCAGTTTCATTTCTACAACGCTTTCCTTTTATAAGGTGCAATAAGAAGTATAAGACAAAAAAGCTAAAGCCTCCTGGCTTCAAAGAACTCATAGTCTACCTGTAAACAGATCCAATACAAGGAATAATATGCCAGGGCGCCTGGGTGGTTCAGTCGTTAAGTGTCTGCCTTCAGCTCATGATCCCAGGGTCCTGGGATCGAGCCCCGCATCGGGCTCCCTACTCAGCGGGAAGCCTGCTTCTCCCTCTCCCACTCCCCCTGCTTGTGTTCCCTCTCTTGCTGTCTCTCTATTAAATAAATAAATAAATCTTTAAAAAAAAAAGAAGAAGAAGAATATGCCAAGTACCAAAGAAAAAACACCATACTATGAGGGTATAGAATTGGTATCTTGGGCTGGCGGACAGGGATTTATAGGGTTCTTAGGTAAGGAAATCAAAAGACCTCTGTAGTTAGTTACCAAGTATCTACATTATGCCAAGGCATTTTATAAATAGTATTTCACTTAATATTTATGGCAACTCAAAAGGCAGTTACCACTATCCCTGCTTGACAGAGCAGGGCATCGACAATGAAAAAAGTTATGTAATTTGCCCAAGATGACTCCCCCCTCCCCAAATTTGGATTATTTTGTTAGAATATTTTCAAGTGTAAAATAATTTTCTCTTTCACTTATAGTTGGCTCTCCAAACAAAATATAATGTTTGAAACCCCCTATTCCCTCAAAGAATAAATGAGTTACAAATTGCTGTTTTTAAGTTTGCACTGCCAACTATTTGAGATTATTGCTCTGAAATGCAAAGCTGTTATGAAACAACACCAACAATGAAAACAACACTGCATTTCTTTTATTTCCATGTTATGGCTGATAACTTTTAATGTACTAGTAGAGAAATGAGCAAATTAAGTACATCCTTAAATTTACTCTTCTCTTCCTAAAATACTGGAATCTTCCTAGCATAAAATGGAAGGAAGCCTGGTGAAATGCAGACATCCTAAGAAAATACATAATATTATTTATTAACTAATGGATTGGGATGAAGCAAAAAGATATTCTTAAAACTAGCAAAGAAAGAAAACTCAAGGTCCATTTAAACTTTTATGCACTGTTATTTCTAAGCTCTCCAGATCCAACCCCTTTTCCCTGTAGGAAGTCCAACCAACTGCGCAGGAGACAAAAAGACATTAGGGCCAGGCCCAGTCTGGAGAGACTTGATTAGCTCCATTTTTTCATTATTTATATATAGGAGAAAAAAGCCATAGGAGGCTGGAAGGGAAGGGCTCCCAATGGTCACACATATCCCCATGCTAGAAAAGTACGAGAGGTAGAAGGGCAGACCTACAAATGAGCAAAAGGCAAACAAAATCTCAAACTTGGATACAAGCCTGCTTTCCCCTTAATTTGCTAGGTGTCTTTTATCTTTTTTTTTTTTTTAAAGATTTTATTTATTTATTTGAGAGAGAGAGAATGAGAGACAGAGAGCATGAGAGGGAGGAGGGTCAGAGGGAGAAGCAGACTCCCCGCCGAGCAGGGAGCCCGATGCGGGACTCGATCCCGGGACTCCAGGATCATGACCTGAGCCGAAGGCAGTCGCTTAACCAACTGAGCCACCCAGGCGCCCTAGGTGTCTTCTATCTTTCATGTTTACTTACAGACAAAATCCCTTAGGCTGCCCCAATGGGATTTTACCAGATACTAACTGGTTGTAAGAAGGCTGCTGGGGTAGCTTTCAGGTTCCCTGGTAAAGTTCTGAGGCTCTAGCAAGCATGGCGTTGGCAGAGGCTTGGTGAAGAGCAGGTCACTTCATTTTTTCTATCTCAATTTAGCAATAAAGCAGGATTAATGACAGTAATCCTTTACATCTACACAGTGCTTTATAATTACCATGTGCTTTCTCATCTGCTTATTTTACCTTACAATAACCCTATAAGGTAGGAAAAGCAGGTATTATTATCACCCCTCTTTTGCAGATGGAAGAAAGGACAGGCTGGATGACTTACTTATGACTTACACAGTCGGTATTTGGTTGACCTGGGACTGAACTCAAGTCCCTTGATTCCTAAAATCTAGTATACTTTGCATTCTATTATCCCATTATTTGCTCATGTTCTTGTTCAGTGACGAAGAAAACCTCATTCATCAGCTGAAAAAGCGAACACTGAACTCCAGCTGCTGCTCACTATTTTCTGTAAGAGGGTTAATTCATGCCCTTGATTCTTTCCTCGGGTAGTAGAAGCAGGTGATGAGAAGTCTCATGACTTGGAACGTGGCCCAGCATTAGCTGGACTTCCACTGGCTTTCACGTCTTACAAAGAGAAGAAATGCCATGTGATGTAAGATTCAGACAACACATACCAAATTCAAAGGTGGTCCCATGGGCTGTCATACTCCACGTGCTTGATCTTCGACCTTTGGTCACCATCACAGAGAATTCATACAGTGTATTTGCTTTTAAACCAGTCACCAAGTAACTTAAAGTTGTTGCATTTGCATTCTGGAGGCATAAGAATCAAGAACTTTAGAATTAGGAAATATCAAGAGCTGGATTTTCTCACCCAGAGCAAATGTGCCAGTACCTTGTACTTGGTGTTTGCTGGGATGTTGGTTTTCCATCGGACTGTGTAATACCGGGAATCTGTAATCTTCTGGTGTTTGGGCAGTGAGTTGTCCGCCCATGTGATCCTTATGGTGTCATGACTCAGAATGGAAGCCTGAACTCCCACAGGTGGCATCATGGGAGTGGGATCTGGCACTGGAGTGTATGGAGCATTAATAACAAATAAATCAACTTCAGAAGTGTCTGGGTAAAAAGTAATTAAAAAAGGGAAGTGGCATTTTAACATAAACAAAAATAAAAGAAAAGGAAAATGCAGGGTAATATAATGGAATGAAAGGTGAGAAATGGAGAAAGAGAAAGAGAATCTAGAGTTAATAGATAACCACCATTCATCAAAAAGAATACTCCCACTTGTGTTCTTTCAGGAAAAATTTGCAGGAAAATGTCTAGGGAAATAATTAACTATATTCTCTACTGTATTCTCTAGGTATATTAACAATTGATAATCCAATGATTATATTAACATATTCATACCTGAATTTTCTTTAAATTACTTGAAAATTCTATCTCCTTTCCAAAAAGGATTGTGAGAAGATACAAAGTACTTTTAAAATCAAGGGTGTAATTTCAGAACAAGCATCACAAAGCTCATGATCTGTTTTGGTATTTCAGTGAATGTGACTGAATTTTTGGGACATGGCTTATCAATGCAGGTCAACGAACATGTAAGGGTCCTATTCTCAAGCCTGAGTCCTGAATGCCAGCCAACGGCAACTTAGCCTGGCCTTGGTTTTAGGGTTATCTGATACCCACACAGGGTCTAGTTCAGATCTGATGTCCTGGGTCTAAAAGCAAAATGGCTCACATCCAAATAAATCAAAGGAACTCAAGGGCATTACTCTTCCTGAAGAAAAGGTAGGCTAACACCATGAAGGAATATCTGCTATGCTTTCTCCAGTAGAATCAGAGAATAACCCACCTAATGAATCCCAATCGGTTATATGAAATGACATACTTATGGGTCCAAGTGACAGCCTTTATGAACATAAGAAATCAGAATACTTATTTGATAGAAAGAAAAGTCTATACTCATGTATGTCCTGTGCCATATGCAGCTGACACCTTCTCTAAGCTCAGTATCAAAACAGAGGCTAGAATGTGCACACAGGCACCAAGGACCATGAGCCCAGGACAATACAGTAGGATCCCCTGGGCTTTATCAACTCTTGGTCAGGTTTTCTAAGTACATACATATTGATTTATTTTAAGTTAAGGTTTTAAAATGGGTTTCCCACCTGGTTAAGGAGAATAGCCCTTCCTGTAACTCAAAACCTGAAATGGCATGGACCTTGTTTATGAGTAAGTGCCAAACTAACGTAATAGTCTCCATTTGTGTATTTCCTACACAATGAGGACTAAAGTAACAGAGGAACAGCATACATTATAGTCAAGGGCTTTGTTCAAAGATCAGGAAACAAACCAATTAGTTATAGAAAATGCACCGTCAGGTGCAAAAATCATTAGACTTCTTTGAGAATTTTTTTTTATTTGTAATAACTCTTGGAGAAGATAACAAGGTTACATGACTTAGGAACATTTCCTTGTATACTTCTAACCAGAAGGCTATATTTTTAAGTGACATAAGAGAAAATTTCAAAAAAGTTTTTTCTATTATAGGCTAATTTAAGAAAGTAGCAAACTACTTATCTAAATATTCTCTTTTTCATCTTACTTTTTTTTCCTTTCTGGAATACCAAAGCTCTTTGCAAAAGAACTTATAAATTGTAAGCACACAGGAGAAGACAAGACAGAACTACCAAACATGTAGTGATGATGCTGGTCTTGTTAAGTAGAAGCATTAAAGAAAAAAAGGGGCAGAGATGATCTTTTTAAAAAGAATAATGTGAAATTTGCATTATTACACAAAATATCCAGAAAATACAGCAGGCAATAGAGATACACAGCTCTGGAAAACAAATGGAAAAGAGCATTTCTGCAAATGATAAATTCTTGGGTTTTCAGGACCCTTTTTACAAGTCTAATGTATTTATTTCAACAAACTTTCTCATTCAGCCCTATATTAGATGTTTTATCTACAGAAATTTTACATTATATATTTCTTTATTACAAAAAATAATATTTTGGTCTCATTTGTGATAAATGTACAGTTGATCAAATGGATGGTACAACTGACTTTATACTCCTTATATACATAAAGCTTATGAAAAGCAAATAGAAGACTACTTTCCCAATCAACTCAGGTGACTAGTAAAGAAAATGCTGGATTCACTGATCATACACATTAACTGAGACCATCAGTAACCTATCTAACTCCTCCAGAGATACGGAGACCCGTTCATTTTTTTTCACTCATTTTAGTTGTAACTCACATGACCAAAAGATGAAAGTCACTTTTTTTTTTAGGAGTGGGGAGGGGCAGAGGGAGAGGAAGAGAGAAAATCTTAGGCAGGCTAAATGCCCAGCATGGAGCCTGATGTAGGCTTGATCTCACAGCCTTGAGATCATGACCTGAGACAAAATCAAGAGTCAGATACTTAACCATCTAAGCCCACCCAGGTGCCCCCAAAATCACTTGTAATTCTCTCAAAACTATAGTTTCTAGATCCCAACATATTAAAAACGTGCTACATATCTACATGGAATTATTTATATGAATGACTAGATTGTTAGCATTTTCTAAAAAGCAAAACAGAAATTAATGGCGATTTCTGTGTTGAAAGCCTCGTTTCCTATATGAAGCCTGCAGCCCACGCTGGCATATACTTTCCCTTTCACTGATACCTATGGGACAGACCTCATGCCAACATTCCACATAAGCTGCTGGAAAAAGTGCTGAAGACAGAGGCGGACAGGATGGCTTACCTGTGTGAGGTCTGGTCACGGCGCTCTCATACAAGGGGATGCCCTCACCCACGTTGTTAAAGGCTTTCAGGGTTATCACATAGTGAGAGCTGGGATCTGAAGAAGGAAACAAGTGAAAACACTTAGGAAAACATTCTCCAGAGTTTAAAAAATTCAAGGGTGACGGTGCATGATCTTAAGTGCAGAGAAAGTTAGGAAAGATTTTAAAAACGTTTCTGTGGGATTCCTCCAGGGTGTGGGGAAATGTAGAGATGGCAGCACACACAGCACAGAAAAACTGGGATCAATGTTTCGGAGCAGTCCCAGAAGTGAGGATGGCTGTGCCTGGATCCTCTCTTGGCCTCACCTAACCAATGGTGTAGTGATGTTACTGTACAGCAGAGGGCTTGGAGGAGAATGAGTAAACAGGATTTTCATGTGTTGTAAGCCCATAGGTGGAACTTGGTATTTCACTGTGGTTTTACTTACATTTCTCTAATGATTAATGATGCCGAGACTCTTTTCATGTGCTGACTGTCCACTCATATATCTTCTCTGGTATACTGCCCACCTCAATCTTCTGCCTACTCTTTTACTGGATTGTCATCTTCTTATTAAGTTGGAAGAGTTTTATATTTTCTGGACTCAAATTTTTTGTCAGATATTTGAATGGTGAGTATTTTCTCCTAGTTTGTGGCTCATCTTTTCACTTTATTGCTGTCTTTCCAAAAGCTGGAAGTTTCAAATTTCAAAGAAGTGCTATAGATTAATTTTTTAATTTTATAACTTATGCTTTATACATCCTGAGAGATCCTTGTCTACCTCAAAGCCATGAAGGTTTTTTCCTGTCTTCTTCTAGAAGTTTTATGGTTTTAGTTCTTGCATTTAGCTCTGTTTTTGTGTATGATGTGAAATAAAGGTCAAGGAAAGTTCCCTTTCTTTCTCATACAGTATCCAATTCTTCCCACACCTTTTGCTGAAAAGACTACACTCTCCCCACTAAATTATCTTATTGTGTTTGTCAAGAAGCAATTGACCATATATATATGGATCTATTTATGGACTCCATTCTGTTCTATTGATCTGTAACACCTACCTTTGCACCAGTACCACCACAATGTCTCGACTACAGTAGCCTCATGTTAAGTCCTGAAATCAGGTAATGTGGGTCTTTAGAAGACATCTGAAGAAATGTGGAAAAGACCATACTACCTGATTTCTCTTTTTCAAAACTGTTTGGCTATTCTAGTTCCTTTGACTTTTAGAATTAAGTTTATCAATTTCTATAAAAAAGTCTGTCAGGATTTTACTTGGAATTGCACTGGGGAGAACTGTCATTTTAATAATATTATCCGATCCATAAACATGGTACCTCTACTTATTTAAGTCACCCTTAATTTCCCTCAGCAATAATTTTCTCATTTCCAGTGTACAGACCGTGTTCATATTTTTAAAGTTTATCTCTAAGTATTTTATTTTTTTGATGCTGCGTAGGTAGTACTTTTAATTTCAACTTCCAACTGCTTATTGTTAGTACATGGGAATATAACTATTTTTGTATATCAACTTTGTATCCTGTGACTTTGCTGAACTCACTTATAGTCTTAGTAGCCTTTTTTGTAGATGCATGAGGATTTTCTCCCCTGATAACAAGGAATGTGTATAGTGCTCAGATACTGGTTTCTAAATGTCATTTTCCATAAAATAAACCAGCATTCCTTGGAGAAATGACTGATTCAAGGGCTAAGGATAGGAAAATATCAGATGAGCCCACTATATCTTACTGTGTCAAAAAGGAAGAAAGTGCTCAAAGAAAGATGGAAGATGTCAAATAGAGGAATCAGTCATAGACTCCCATTCGGCATTCTTTCACTAAGGAAGAGAAGGAAAGTTCTTCTTTATCAAAGAATGCTGATAAATGTAGAAGAAATAATAGAATTAGAAATTCACTTGGGAAACACCACAGTAATAACTGTTACTAAAGACACTAAAACTAGTGAATGAAAGTTTGACGAGAAACAAGATGTTTACAAAGACTCAAAGTATTTATTAATTCTAAAGGAGAAAACAATAACTTTAGGGAATGTAGCAGATACCCTCTGAACTAAGTGATTAAAGTTAACATCACTAGCACCAGACTTTCACATGCCTCCTGATACGATGTACTGACAAGAACACAATGTATGTATGCTATTCCTTCCAAAAATGCATAAGCTGAGAGTAGTGAGGAAATATTAGGCAAGTCTAAACTAAGAGACATTCTACAAAATATAAATGGTTTATACTTCTCAAAAATGTCATAGTTGGGCGCTGGGTGGCTCAGTTGGTTAAGCGACTGCCTTCGGCTCAGGTCATGATCCTGGAGTCCCGGGATCGAGTCCCGCATCGGGCTCCCTGCTCGGCAGGGAGTCTGCTTCTCCCTCTGACCCTCCCCCCTCTCATGCTCTCTATCTCATTCTCTCTCAAATAAATACATAAATAAAATCTTTAATAAAAAAATGTCATAGTCATAAAATTCAAGAAAAACCCAAGGAACTGTTCTGTATCAAGAGAAAACTAATGAGACATAACTAAATTCAACAAGTGATCCTGGACCAGAAAAAAATGTTTTTCTTTTGTTATAAAGGACGTTAACGGAGCAACTAGTAAAATATAAATAAAGTCTAGAGATATTGTCTGAGTGTTAATTTGCTGACTTTGGTAACTGTACTGTAGTTATATTAGAAAATGCCCTCATTTTTAAGAAAAGCACATTAAAGTATCAGAGGGTGGAGGGGCATCCCATCTGTAACTTACTCTTAAATGGTTCAGTGAAAAAATATATATGTACAGGAAGACAGAGAATGATAAAGCACATGTGGTGAAATGTTAACTTTTGGGCATTCTTAGTGAAGAATATATAGAAATTCTCTACTTTTTTTTGAGAGGGAGAGAGAATGTGAGTGGGGTAGGGGAGGGGCAGAGAAAGAGGGGGAGAGAAAGAATCTTAAGCAGGCTCTGTGCCCAGTGCAGAGCCCTACCTGAGATCATGACCTGAGCCAAAATCAAAAGTCAGACGCTTAACTGAGCCACCCAGGCGCCCCTCTGTAGTATTTTTTAAAGTTTTCTGTAAAAATAAAATTATCATACAATCAAATGTCAAAAGAAAGAAATCCCATATGCAATTACTTCTTCTACTTAGCATACATACCCAGATTTTCGATGGTATAATAGCGCTGTTTATAGTCCACTTTGATGGTCTGGGCATGAGGGCTGCCAATGCCATAACCAATGGCATAACCTCTGACCACAATGTTCTGATTCTCTGGAGGAGTCCAGCTTACTACAATACTAGTAACCAGTGGCCGGACATGAAGAGAACTAGGCACTTCAGGAACACGAGTTTCTGGGAAAGAAAGTAGAAAAGCAAGACTTTAGAATATTTACCATCCTTGGGGCATGGTGTTTAGCCTCCTGCCAAATTATTTGGGGCTAAGATTTTTCCATTATGCCCAAGAATTCACAGAGAATGGGTATGTATAGTGAAGTATGGCTCATGGTTTTACTATATTCTAAGAAGAAAGCAAAACCCAAACAGCCTGAAATACAAGACAATGCAGTATTAATTTGGAAGGGAAGACAAGGAGATCTAAGAACTTCTACCTAATGGAGAGAAACAAACTGCCTTTCAATAGTTATTCATTCCTCTTGGTCCCACATCTGAGTCCCAGACTCAACTAGGTGGAATGAGAAAGGCATAACACCAACTAATTAGAAGCCTGTTGTCAACAGATGATCAAGTATCACATTACAGCGATTGTATCAATTATTTATTCCCCTAAGTAATATAAGTCAGAAAAAGGGAAACTTTAGAACCACATATTGATTTAAATGGTGGGAGACTAAGAGGCTTAAAAAAGGTAGTAATTTATAGTATATCTTTCAAATCCGTTACTTCAAGGTATAACTTGCTATCTAAATTTAAAAATTAGCAAACCAAGAATGAGAATAAGGACCCAGGTGTTTGGTCTCCCAAGTGCAACACCTGTGTCTCATAAAGGCATATACACACCTACATAAAGGTGCTCACTGAATAAAGAGGTAGGGAAAGGGCAAGGTGTCTAGGACTAAGGGAAAAGGAAAACCGTAGCTGAAAAAGGCGGATTGATGTGGCTCAGTGTTAAATTTCAGATCATTCATCTATTCAGTGGCCTTGATAAAAAACTAGACTTATTTGTTCTGGTCCTGCTGGAAGGGACAGGTTGTAAAAGCCACTGGGGTGGGGGTGGGGCGGGGGCAGGGGCAGCTCTCCAGGAGACTGGCTGCATTACAGTAATGACAGGAGTGCAATACGGTAAAGTTCACAGACTTAAGCCATATACGCCCCCAAATCTGTGGGTTTCCAGTTTAACTAATTTGACTACAGTCAGTCAGTACCTAGCTTCTCCCAATCCTGTAGACTGTTGTTCTTACCATCTAAGTCACTTTCAAAAGTTTCAGCAGACAGCCAGTCGGTAGCCGGGCCTGTGCCGTTGACTGTTAGAGCAGCCACTCGGAAATTATACTCAGTCCCCCGATCAAGACCTGAGACCCAAACGACAAAAAAAAAAACAACAAAAAAAAAACAAGCTGAAATAAGAGTCTGGAAAACAAAAGATTAACAACTTCTCATTGAGTATCTCATCCACCAAATCAGTACACAGCTACCATCTTGATGAAGTTTCGGTTACAGTAGGAGAGCACACGCAATACATCTCCACAGCACAGCCGAGCTCCCACATCTCCAGCAGAGGCTGAAGCCCATACATTCAAGAGGAAAACCAGTGACTAGAGTTCCCGGGAGATTACAGATCCTTTTTTTTTTAAGAGCTTGAAGGCCCCTCAGAGATCATTTAATGTAATCCCTTCATTTTGTTACTAAGGAAGCTAAGGTCAAAAAGAGGTCAAGGATAATGAAAGAGTCATGACAATGGAACAAAGTCAGTTGGTCTCAGAAGACACCCAAGACGGAAAGGAATTAAAAGATGTAATTCCTGCTGGGTTACCTCACCTCTGTTCTCTGAGCCACCCCGTGACAAGAGTAGGCCTACAAATCTATTTCACAACAGCTTACCTACCCATAAGTATATACAATAAGAGGAATAAAGCCTTTCTTGTATGCAATTTTTCGTAATGACTATGAGTAATAAATTTACCAATGTACTGAAGGCAACAAAAATCCACATGTAAAAGTCTACCCTACAAAGTAGAGCAACAGCCAATAATATGGTCAGCTATTCAGATAATTCATGCATCCATTTTTTTCTTTTTTTATGTTAAAACACACAACAAAATTTACCATCTTAACTATTTTTCAGTGTACACTTCACGTGTATACATCTTTAGAGCACTTACATACTAAATATTGCATTACATCTTACAAGGTTATGAGAAATGATCCTACCTCCCCATATTGACATATTGGGATCTCTGGCCAGCAGCATTGTACAGAAGGTCTAAGGAGAGAACCACAGAGAGAGAGAGAACGTGGCCAGGATGCACGATGGCTCAGTGAATGAATCCTGTCACGTGGTGAGAGAAGAGATGGGAGGTATGGTTCCCAGCAGGCCCATCCTGAAGCTGTCTGCCCATAAGAAAGCAACAAGCAAGGCAGAAGGAGAAGCCACATGGCTGGGCCTGTCAGTTTACCTGTCACCTCCCTGCATACACTGAAGCAGAAAGTGCCAGAGAAGGCTGTGCATGTGTTTGTACTGTTAATAGACAAATAATATGAACTACTGGCAAACATGGCTCAACTGAGGTCCTGAAAGAATTCAACCAGTCAAATTATCATTCCCTCCCCTCTGGGGAGAGTTAGAGTGTAAGACAGCAAGCAAGAGATCGGGGGGGAGGGGGGAGCATGTGCACACACATGTGAGCAAGAGACGCATGTGTAAAAAGGCTAAGAGTTCCTTTCCTCCCAGGTTACCTACAGAGTTCATAGACTCAACTAGGGCCCACAATTCATATTATAAAGATATGGCAGAATGTGTTAAGTGCCATGAGTGGTACAGAATGAAGAAACAACAATTACTTCTGGCTAAAACAGAGTCACGTAATTTGTGGTTCCGGACAGGATCCTGGTAATCCATACTGCTCTCTGATGCTCATCAAGCTTCAAGTTAATGCTTCAAGAGAGCAAAGATGTCCATCTGTGCTCACCATTATATACCCAGTACCAGGACACACTAGTACAAGTTCAATAAAGTCTGTTAAACAAATGAATCTAAGTATGATTTTAAAATGCAATGATTTTCTCCATAAAGAAAAATCTGTTTTTACCATGAAGATGATTATTTTGCTTACACATCAAACGTTTCATTGAGAAAATGAACAGCCTCCTCATGGTCCAGGACTATATTCTGTTTTTACATTATTAGCAACAAGAACAGTAGCTGGTATACAGGTACTGTTATGCATGGGAAATGTTACCTGTATTCGGAGTCAAATCAGCAACTGTTGTTTTTTTTTTAATTTTCAATTAGCCAACATATAATACATCATTAGTTTTTGATGTAGTGTTCAACGATTCATTAGTTGTGTATAGCACCCAGTGCTCATCACCACACATGCCCTCCTTAATACCCATCACCCGGCTACCCCATCCCCCACCCATCTCCCTTCTGTAACCCTCAGTTTGTTTTCCAGAGTCCAGAGTCTTTCACGGCAACTGGCTTTTAAGAACACACGAGAACATTGTACTGTAACGCTCCTTTAGTGAGCTGTCTCAGCAACACCACTGCAACCATGTGTACTTGCCGCAGCTTAGAGCTGTGGGTTCATGTGAAGAAACTCAAAGACTGAAAGCTACCCTTGGAGACAAACATTCACCTATTTTGAAAGAAGTCAATCCCATCTTTGAGGTGAAGAGTAAGGAGAAAACCTTGCTGGGTTTTCAGAGTTACAAGTTACCAGAGTACAAGTTTTCACTGTCAGTGACTCACCTAATTCTTAGAAACTCATCCCACTACACTTTTTGACCCCAGATCTTGGTTCTATCAAGAATTTGACCCCTGGAGGCATAGGAAAGTGGCTGATGTCAAGCTTCTCTACCAAGGAGGGAGCAATGTAAGGGAAGCTGAGAGCTCCCCAAGGGTGATGAAATTCATTCTCAGGGCTTAGATAAGGATGTCAATATCTCCAATTCTTGCAGTTTTCTTCTACCAGCTCTGCTAGGAACCCCCAAAATGGTTTCTTAGGGGCATCTATCTTTATTCTTTATAAGCACAGTCCCAATATCCAAAGAGCAAAAAGCACTTCATTTTCTTCCCATGCTTCTCCTGCAAAGCCAACTGGCCCTTGCAGAGCCAAGTCTACTCCCCCCACTAGGGGAAGAAAGAGGGGACTATTCTGTCATCTACAGAGGAAGCCCATATTAGAGATGGAGTAGGGCCCATTGTTACCTAATATGCCACTTGGTCTGCTGCACATAAAGGGAAAACTACACAAAAGGAGCTATCCCAGACAGACTTCTCTAAAACTTTATCATGTAGCAAGTAGTAGCAAGAAAGACTACTGCACTACTATAGCTATTCACAAATGTTTCAGGCCACACACACGAGTGGTGTCAGTGTTATAAAAATCATTTTGTAGACCTCTGTAGACCTTTACAGTAGATATTTGGCCTATATAGCTTTGTTTTGCCTTGTTTTGAGATTGCAAAAAACCAATACAGACTTAGGATGGTTCAACTTAATATTTTTTGACTTTACAGTGATGCAAAAGCAATACGCATGCAGTAGAGACTGTACTTCAAATTCTGAATTGTGATCTTTTCCCAGGCTAGAGATAGGAGGCACAATCCTCTCTTGTGATATTGGGAGGGGCAGGAGCAGCTCCCAGTCAGCCTTGGGGTCACGAGGGTAAACTCCTTATACACTTACATTCTGTTTTTCAATCTCAGTACAGTATTCAATAAAGTACATGAGGTATCTAATAATTTGTTATAAAATAGGCTTTGTGTTAAATGGTTTTGTCCAGCTGTAGGCTGATGTAAGTGTTCTGAACACATTTAAGGTAGGCTAGGCTAAGCTATGATTTTGGCAGGTTAGGTGTGTTAAATGTATTTTTGAGTTAGGATATTTTCAAATTTTGATGGGTTTATTGGGACATAACCCCATCGTAAGTTGAGGAAGATCTGTTGTATATACATGCAAAAAAGAAAATGTGGAGAATACAGAAAACCACAAGTAAAGAAATAAAACAACACTCAGAGATGACAGAACCTATAAGATTGTGTTCCATTAACTTTTATGAAGTCAGAAGTAGACTGAACCGTTACGAATTCTTTTGAACTGTTTTCACTTTAAGTCAACCGCTGAGAGTAGTTATTAGACTAGCATAACTCAATGCCCGAGAAAGACGCCATCTCCTACCTTTCACCCACATGCAAGGCAGCTTACCTTCAATCAGATGAGACAACTGTGTCCCAGTTACCAAGGTCTCAGTGACATCACTCTTTCGGGAGGCCTTTCGGTAGCGAATCTTGTAGCCAGTAATCTGACCATTTTGTGTGGCTGGAGGAGGTGGCTGCCAGTGAATCACAATACTCTGGGAAAGACAAGATTATAGGGAAAAGACTGAATATATCAAAAAGCTTAGTCCTGTTTTATAAATTACTATCCTGAATTCACTGACATAAGGCAGCAGGGTGCAAAGACAGAGTTTTACTTAGGGATCACTCAAAATTATTTTTTGGGAAGATTATATTTGCAGGCAGTATGCTCTGGGCCCTTATTCTCCTGGGTATTTAGACATTTAGGCAAAAGTCTCAGAAAAGCTTTCAGAAGGAAAATATAAGGTCAGAGGCACATAGATTATGAAGTAAACTATGGTTAGGTGTAAGGTTCTCTGCTATCTCCATTGTGGAACGGCTGAAATTAGACAATTCTGCCTAAAACTCTCCAAGAAGGGAATCATTAATTAATAGCTGGTTTTTAATTAAAGGACAAGGATTCCCATGGTGCTTTTTGAAAGGACTGAGTGTCTCAATTGTCAATGTAGCCCAGAAGCGGCTTTGGGCCTTGGAGAGGCACACATGGCCTTCAGTGTATAGTGGACGTGGCCAGGAGGGAGTCTGAGCCTATGTACCGTTCTGACGGATGTCTACCTTCACTTCACAGTACTAAGGGGCCATGGTATCATAAACAACTTACCTCTTTCCACCTCATCACCAATGTTCTGAACTGTTAAGATCTATAATGTCAGGATTTGCAAACTACAATGTATCTGCAGAAAGACTAACTTAATCTTGGCATCAGAGAAAGGCAGTAAAGTTAAACAGAAAACACGGAGTCGGTTTCTAAGTCCAGCTTTATTGGAAGGTGTAATATCTATGACACCTTATTTCTCTGCTTGAGTACGATTCTTTTGATATAGAATCTCCCTCTCTATAAGTCCTTCTGAGACTTAGTAGTATGCCAGTAAAAATGAATAGCAATATAAAGTTTACCTTTGAATTTCTTACTTCTAAGGACAGATTCTGAGGAGCAGCACTGGGAACTGGACAGGCAAAAAAAAAAAAAAGAAAAAAGAAAATTTTTTCAATCACCCACATATCACTGCATCATGTGATATTCCTGGCCAGACTTTACACAAATGCGCATCTCAAACACTAATTATGCAACTGAAAGGTCTAAACCTAGCTGCCAATGCCCTCATGTTGATAGCAGTACGTGGATAAGGTGTGGCCACAGTTGATTCACTTAAAAAAATGAGACACATTCTTATAAAGGCATCCATACCCAAGTCAGGTTGCACCTTTGGGAAGTCAGATACTGATTTCAAGAATATGACAGTGACTCTAAACTTTTCTAGACCCCAGCTACATTCTGAACCTTCAACATATTCTTTTGAATATTCTTGTTGATGGCATATCTTTATCTTGGGGAAGAGCCACAAATTTTCTGGAAACAAATCTAATGAATATGGCAAGTATATGTACTAGGTAATGCTGTTATGAGTCCAAAATACGAGGTACATAAATCAGTGAGCTCTGCATGCCTGTGGGGTTCCTAAACTGGTTTTGAACACAATTCCCAAGTAGAATAAAGAGATATTTACACTGACAGCTTCGGAAAAGGGACCATCTGGCTTCCCAAGGCAACTTTTATAGCAGGGAACACTCATTTCAGTATGAGAAGTTTGGGACTATTGGTTAAACAAACAGCTGCATAACTTTAGTTTCTCACATATGAGAACACAAGACAGAGCTATCTCAAATTTTATGATCCACACACCTTCCAGCATCCCTCTTTGTAGTAACTATAGCAAGCAAAAAGAATTTAAGTAAACCTGATTAATTTCTTCTCCACTCACAAAATGCTGACTTTAACTCTTTTTTCCTAGTCCATCCATGGAAACTTTTCTCTCCCTTTCTCTGACATTTGGTGACCAGATATATGACTAAGTGCCCACTGCACTATATGCTTCTGGAGGACAGAGACTATGTCTTGCTCAATGTTCTATCTTGTGCTAAAAAAGAACATCAGGCTTCAGCCCAGAGATTCAGGAACGGAAGTTGTGGAGTAGGACTTATGCAACTGTGTTTTGAAAAAAAAAAGTCTATGAATGGTTCCAATCATCTCCTTGTTAAGAACCTGTGACTTAGCTGCAGAGGCAGCTGACAAAGGCTGCTGCTGGTGTCTTCATCTTCTTCATCATCATAGCTAAGATTTGCTGCATGCTCCTACATGGCAGGTACTTAATCCTTACAACAATTCCACGAAGGAGTTTCTATAACTATTCCCATTTTATTTTATTTATTTATTTTAAATGTTTGTAAAACAACTTCATAATAGATTTTAAAAAATTTTATTATGTTATTCACCATACATTACATCATTATTTTTTGATGTAGTGTTCCATGATTCATTGTTTGCATATAACACCCAGTGCTCCATTCAATACGTGCCCTCTTTAATACTCATCACCAGGCTAACACATCCCCCCACACCCCTCCCCTCTAGAACCTCCAGTTTGTTTCTCAGAGTCCACAGTCTAACCCATTTTACAGATGAAAAACCTACAAAGGAGGTTCAGGGCAGTGAACCTGACTGAGCTATGTGTTTCAGCTAATGTTTTAAAATGTCAAAATAATTTTTTAAAATTATGTACCATAACTAATAACATATCTAATATTTAAAATTGCATAATAGTACATCTACCAAACATTAATACTGCCCTTGATAGCTATTTTACTCCCAGATCTAGAAGCCAAAGATAATACACGTTTTATATGATTTCATGTGTCTTTTTCTTTAACCTAGATTCTAGAATGATAATCCCCCATTTTTTCTCTGAATAGTCCTTTTACTTTTTTTATTGCCCCCCGCACTGGTTTTCTTTCATGAGACTAATATTTTTTAAGAAGTCAGGCCAGTTTATTTATTTTTTTATAGGACTTCCCTGTTAGACATACCCAAACTGAGGAAAGTTCTACAAACAAACAGGCCTAAATTCTTGAAAAATATTATGACTTTTAGGAAACAATATATATATACTTATTAACTGCAATAAACACAGTTATTTTCTCTTCTAATAATAATATTTTTTAAAACATGCTGGTCTTAAAGATACAAATGTAGTGATCCAAAGGGGCACCTGCACCCCAATGTTTATAGCAGCAATGTCCACAATAGCCAAACTCTGGAAAGATGTCTATCGACAGATGAATGGATAAAGAAGATGTGATACATACATACATACATATATATATAAAGAAGATGTGATATATATATAAATATAAATATATATTTATATATGTATAAAGATATATATTATATATATAAAGATGTGATATATACATAAAGATACGATATATGTATGTGTATATATATATATGCACACACACACACACAATGGACTATTACTCAGCCATCAATAAAATGAAATCTTGCCATTTGCAATGACATGGATGGAACTAGAGGGTATTATGTGAAGTGAAATAAGTCAAGCAGAGAAAGACAATTATCGTATGATTTCACTCATATGTGGAATTTAAGAAACAAAGAGAAGAGCATAGGGGAAGGGAGGGAAAGTAAAACAAGATGAAATCAGAGAGGGAGACAAAACATAAGAGACTCTTACCACAGGAAACAAACTGAGGGTTGCTGGAGAGGAGGGAGGCAGGGGGATGGAGTAACTAAGTGATGGGCATTAGGGAGGGCACATGATGTAATGAGCACTAGGTGATATATAAGACTGATGAATCACTGAACTCTACCTCTGAAACTAATTATATACTATATGTTAATTAATTTAATTTAAATTTAAAAAATAGTAAAAAAAAAATTAAAATTAAAAATGCCGGTCTTGATCTACTCAATCCCCTTGGCAAGCTATAGTTTGAAAAATATTGCTCTAGGTGATGGTTACATGAATATAACTTAGCTTAGAAATTCAGTCACAGGTAAGAAATGAAACTGTCACAAAATACTGAGGAATTAATAAGAGCTATTTGGTGTACAAATATGATTGCTAAGTGGAACAAAGCCAGCCTTCCATCAGCCCTGGAATGGTTTGTGTTATGAACAAGCAACATTTATTTATACAAAAGCCCCTCCTAAAAATAAAAACAAGAGAAACTATTCAGTACCAGGCACTGCAAGTTCTACCCTCTCTCAGTAAATCTTTTAAACCCAATGAAATTGGTATTATCTACATTTTATGCATAAAGAAGCATGCTCAGACATGTTAAGGAACTAAAGTCCAGAAAAGGGGTAGAACTGGGATTTGAACTGAATCTTCTTGATAGCAAAGCCCATGACCTTACCAGGGCCCCCAAGCATGTGTGTTCCAAAGGAAGAAAGACTCACCATCTGACAACGTTCGAACAGCAACATCTTGTGTGGAGACTCCAGGACCATGTTTGTTGTAAGCCACCACTCGGAAACTATACTCTGTGTATTTTTTCAACCCATTAATGGTATGGGAGTGACTTGAAACATCAACATCCTTGAATAAAATAAAACAATTTACACGTATACAACTCAAGCCAAAAGAAATGCTGCAAAATAAAGAATTAACTATACAAATTTTGCATGTGATACAATGCAGATTTTTATCCCTTTTACAAAATACTACTTAACAATCAAAGCAGATTAATCAGAAACACTGGCAATTTACAGAGAAATACTGCTTGATGTTTAGTGACCCCTCCTGATAAAAACTACAGAATATAACTTGGTACAAAGAAAGAAGTCGGGCACCTGGGTAGCTCAGTCAGTTAAGCGACTGCCTTCAGCTCAGGTCATGATCCCAGGGTCCTGGGATCGAGTCCCACATCAGGCTCCCTGCTCTGCGGGGAGCCTGCTTCTCCCTCTCCCACTCCCCCTGCTTGTGCTCCCTCTCTCGCTGTGTTTCTCTCTGTCAAATAAATAAATAAAATCTTAAAAAAAAAAAAAAAAGAAAGAAAGAAGTCTGCTGACTTTTCATTTCCTATATACAACTTTTTTATTCTGAGATTTCTAGACAAGCAAGTATTGAGTTTTGGAACTATATTTCAACTCTACTATTTCAATCAATCAATTGAAAAATGGCTTTGGGGCGCCTAGGTGGCACAGTTGGTTAAGCATCTGACTCTTGGTTTTGGCTCAGGTCGTTATCTTAGGGTCCTGGGATGGAGGCCAGTGTCAGGATCCACGCTGGGTATGGAGCCTACTTAAGATTCTCTCTCTCCTTCTTCCTCTGCTCCTCCTGCTCATTCTTTCTCTCTAAGGTAAATAAATCTTACCAAAAAAGGCTTCATCTTTTACCTGTTCTTTATCAGTCCCTTTTTCCATGTAGTACAATTTGTAATTCTGAATTTCCCCATTGCCAGACAATGGTGTTTCCCAGGTGACAGTGATGGAAGTAGGTGAAGCTGCATATGCTCGGATGTTAGGTGCTGGGCCAGGGAGCTGAACTAGAAAGAAAATTTTGAGACAGCAAAATACGAATGAAATTTACTGCACTCCTTAATCACCATTCTCAGCAATAACGTCCTAATGGCCATGTTTTTAAAAACAATAAAAACTGAGAAAACAACTGATTTGATTGAAGTGGTTTTAGGATAGTATATGATTAAATGCATTTCCCTTTTTAGACTCAAATTATAACCAAAAATTATCTGTGAAGTATCTCAAATGTATTCAAAGGAAAAAATAAACATTGCGGAATTTTTTTTGTGGTTTATAAAATCCTAGTTTTTCAGCAGGACTGCAGCACATAAAAGCAGCCATCACAAAAAGAGAGTCTTCAGGGGATTAAAGAGGACACGTATCCTGATGAGCACTGAGTAATGTACAGAATTGCTGAATTGCTGTAATGTACACCTGAAACTGATATAATACTATATGTTAGTTATACTGGAATTAAAGTAAAAAACTTTAAAAAAAGAGCGAGGCTTCTTTTGCCAGGCACTGGGGATGTGGTGATGGACGGAGTCCCAGCCCACAAAGAATTCCCAGTCTAGAGGGAACTCAGACATATAAATAGTTGCAAAAGTCACAAGTGCCTACAGATTTCATAATGACTGTAACGAAAACAGAAAGAGAATACACAACTCTGCTTTGAAAGGGGGGTGTGTAGGCAAGGGAAGGACTGGGAAGATTTCTGGGGAGCCAGAAGGAACAGCTTCCTCAGATACTAAGGGAAAAATTATTCCAGTCAATGGGGAGGACATGTGAGAAGACGGTATAATGTGGTTCAGGGTGAATACTGAATGAATGTGGGAGGGAGAATGCTGAGGAGGAGGACACAGCCGGATAGTGAAGAGCTTCTAATGTGCTGCTGTGGAGTCTGCCTCATCTCTTGTAGGTGTTCGGTAATTACTGAAAAATTATGAGCAGGAATATGACATGATATGATCAGATCTGTATTTAGAAAGGACACATAAATGTATGCATGGAAGAAAAACAGTAAGCGAATAAGACTAAAGAATAATGATTTTTAAAATAGCTACCATTTATTGAATGCTTACAATCAGTCCCGCTTAAAATGCTTTACATGTATTTAAATTATGTCTCATTTAATCTTTGCACTAACCCACATGAGAGGGACACTATTATCATCCCTATTTACAGATGAGGTTGAGAGGCTAAGAACTGCTCCCACAGGACGGAAAGTCAGTGAGTGGTGGAGCCAGGAGCTGCACACTTCCTGATTCTAACACGTGGAATCAAGCAGACCAGTCCGAAGATTACTACGGCGCCCTCCATGGGATGTATGTGACTGGAAGACAGTCCAGCTCTAACTCCTACAACAGTTCCCGTACCTCTTTACTACATTCTTTTCATCTAACTGATGAACTTGTGACAAGTTCCAGCACCAATTTATACACAAATTCCAGAGGTTGCCTATGCCTACACTTTGGTAGACATTCTATATTTAAAAACAATTTCTCTGGTGCCGGTGTTTCTCTAACAGAATCCATTAGATTTAAGGAACAGGAAAAAAAACGTAGCAAAATGTAAAACAAACAAGCTTTCTTAAATAACAGCACCACAGCTTGACAGTTTTGCTACCCAAGTAGAGAAACCTGAATGTGGTTATTCTGACAGTTGTTTGCTTTATTTAGTCATGAATCATGGTTATTCACTTAATGTTAAGAGCATTTTTTTGTGCAGCCTGACAAGTGGGATTTGTCACACTTCTGCTGCTACAGGAAACTTTCCTCTAAGTTATTAAAGGGGAAGGAAAACAAAACAATCCCCCGATTCCCTTGAAATAACTTTCAATATATTCATTGGATACACATAAACAAATATGATCCTAAAAAGGCACTAAGAAATTCTTTCATTTCACCTGCACAGTGGCATAATAAATGGAAAAAATTTTAAGTTGGTTTGTTCAGCTAAGTATGTAAAATATTTTCTGAGGGCTGACTTCAGCACTTGCACCTCTCCTGCCATAGGCTGAATACCTTCAGATGAAGTACAAATCTCTTTCCATTAATTTGTCTTTTGCTAAAACTTGTTATAGCCACTTTCCAACCCTAAAATACCCTCAAGAGAATCAGGTTCCATCTACATTAGTCTCTTTCTTCTAATCAAACTCCTTGAAGAAATGATTGTACTGCCTACTTTCCTTAGAATTACAGAGGTACAATATCATATAGGTGGGACCACAGGGAAAGAGTCTACAAGGCATCTGAGCCAGGTCTTAAAGAATCAATAAAATCTGAGTGTGTATCAGCAGAGTCCTATTGCCTTACACTGTTTGCCACTGTTTGATGTGAATTACTTTGATCTCCCCTAACTAATTCATAAGGTCCTCGATGGCAAGGAACTGGTACCTTCTGCACTGTTATGGTACATGAGGCTACATGAAAGGCAGACCTTCCTATGGTCTACATACAGGTAGGGCTGACAGACAGGTGGAAGACTTACCCTCAGGCTGTGTTTCTACTCGGAGTGGAGCTGAACTCTCTCCGGAGCCATGTTTATTTTGAGCCAGAACTCTAAAGATGTACACAGTCGCCGGCATTAGGTTTTGAATGGTTACCTGCATTTCTCCTGGGCGACTGGTATTCTCAACACGTTCCCTTTGGGCAAAGAGGGGTGTGGAAAGAAACAGCATTGATTAGGAATACTTCTAGAATGTGCAGTTTCATTTTCATTCCAATTCCTATAGATAAATGCCATATCAAAATCTTAACTCTTGACTCCGGGAAACAAACTGAGGGTTGTCCATAATTATACTCAGTCTACTGTACATACTATAATAAAAACCAGTTTATATTACACAAGAGTTTTCAACAAATATTGTGGAAGAATTCATTTGTTTTAGACAAATAGCTGGCCTTAAAGGATTGTCGATCATGAAAGGAGAGATCTGTATCTATCCTGACAGAGTAATAAAAAGGTCCAAAACCACTCTGTGGACAAAATTACTTGAAATTACATAATCGGGTCGCATTAAAATTCTTACTTTAAGATATTGGTAATTTTCCCTGAAATCACGGATTAAAATTTATTTAGTTCTACATGACCTTATGCAGATTTGCCTGATTGTATGTGAACGTTTACATTTCAGAGATTTAAGTGTTTTTCAGTAGTTTCCTATAGTTTTTAAAACTACCTTATTTTAATTTAAAACAAACCAACAGAACCCACATCATCTTCATAGAGTCCCTGTCCATATATAATGTTAGGTCCACCAGAGCAGGGTAACTATAGCACCAAAAGCTATTGCTCAAAGATATCTGAGATATCGACAGGTATTTTCTCTCGAGCTAACCCTCTAAATCACAAGATTTAAAAGGAGGTATCAGCTGATTTCTTACACTCTGAAGTTTCTGACAGTTGCTCTGATCACAAATGATCACTGTCTAAAAGAAAGTATGGGATTTTACACGTCACCCAACTACAAGCTCCATGTGAGAGCACAGATTAGGTCAGTTTTGCTCACTGTACGTAACAGTTTAAACAAAAAGTTGGAACTATCTTGAGAAAGATAGCTGGGGGGAGCGCTCTTTTACTTTAAATTGAAGTGTCTCAGTCATGTTCCCATATTACAGAAGAACTTAGCAGAATGCTCATACGTGGAAGCAGCCTCACAGATACGTGCAGAATGCATGAATGGAAATTTGCTTTCTATGTAAACTTTGTGTAGTAATAATATCATGTACATCTTTTGTTCGTTCCTGTGTGAAAGGAAAAAAAACCAGGAGAAATGAGTGAAGGGAACGAAAAACTTAGAACAAACTTCTATAGAAACACTACAATTAAAAAAATCAGTAATACGTATGATTCCTTAAAGATGAAAGAATAATTAGCTAGTACTGCAAAAGCTTTAACTCTAGATCGGTCTGAGGTCCCAGAACCAACTGCCTGTCTAGAAAAAAACTTCTGACTTCAGGACAAGATCCAGGGTGGGTTTTAAAGTGCAATTCTCATAAATGGGTGAGGTTGCAATGGAACTTAGGTTAGAATGTGTAACTAAGAGTCAAAGGAGAAAGGAAAAGGTACATTTTATATTAAGACAGTGCTGGGCTAGGCATTAAGAGCTCTAATTCTGGTTTGGCAAGCTCACTAATTCTTTCTGAGCCAGATAGTAAATATTTACAGGCTAAGAGACAAAATGGAAAATATTAAGTAGTTACTTATATAACCTATTAAAATGTAACCATTTGAAAACACAAAAAAATATTCTTAGCTCCTGGGTCATAAAAATAACAAGTCTGATTTGGCCCAGGGTCCCTAGCTTGCCAATTCCTGGGCTCAACTAAGATACCTAAGGCTTCGTCCACCTCTAAAATGTTATTAACTTCTGGAATAACTTACTCTGCAACAAGTCTGATTTGGCTCAGGGTCCATAGCTTGCCAATTCCTGGGCTCAACTAAGATACCTAAGGCTTCGTCCATCTCTAAAATGTTATTAACTTCTGGAATAACTTACTCTGCATTTTACATTTAGTGGCTAATATCAGAAAAGTACTATTTACACTGAAAAAGAATGAACATTTCATAGTTGAAAAGGCAGAGGAAGGACCCTTTGAAATCTCAAGAAACTCAAGCACCCAAAAGAATTATCTCATGACCAAGACACACTGTGCCATCTGGTGGCTGATTTTTCAAGTGCAGGAAGTAGTGGGATTTGTAAATGCAGGTAGTGGCTTCCATCCTCACACTGAATTCTTATTATAAGTCTGTGATGAAAAGTTACTACCCTCATTTTTTTAGATGAGAAAACCTAAGCTTATAAAGGTTAAATAAATTCTATTTACAAAACAAGCAGGATCTAGTCTTCTGTCTTGGTGTTCTTTCTACTCCTTCATGGCTTGTATTCAGAAATCATAAATTTCATTCACAAATTAAATGACAAAAACATGAGTCTCCAAGAATCTTCCTTTGAAATATTCCCTAGACTTATTCTGTTCACTTCAAGTCACTACTCTCACCTTCGTCCAGGCCATATCTACCCCATGCCTAGATTAAGGAGATTTGTCTCTCTGACTTCATTTCTTTTCTTCTCTTTACATAGTGCTCATAAAAAAGCTATTTAATAAAATCACAGTGCACACTTGCTCAGTAGTCTAAAATGGTCCCTTCTTAACTGATTATGTCCAAATTCTTACTGGCATTATGACATTTGGCTCTAAACTTCTACTTTATTATAATCTCTTACTAATTCCTACCAGAACTCTGGGCCAGTTAAGCTTTCTTACTTTCCCATCCATCAAACACCAGACATGCAAATTAAATTGCATCCTCCTGCACCTCCTCTTCCTTTATATATACTTGCCTTGTCTTCCTGCCTGACAAGTTAATTTTAAATTGAAGTGACAGATTCTCATTAAAAACAAAAGCATATATAGTTTTAAAAAATCCAAAAGTCCCAGTTTTTCTCTGTCCTCGAAACCTGTCCTCCCTGACACCTAACTGTGGCACATCCTGACCTATATCTTACCAGATCTCTTCATGTCAGGTTTTCTCAACCTTAGCACTATTGAGCTTTGGGGTGGGATAATTCTTTGTTGTAAGGGGTTGTCCTGTACACTGCAGGACGTTTATCAGCATTTGTGGCTTCTACTCATTGGATGACAGTAAGCATCCTCTCTCATCTGAGGTTTAATAACCAAAAATGTCACCAGACATGGCCAAATGTCCACTGAGGGATGGAGGCAAACTGTCGCTGGCTGAGAATCACTGCTTTGGGCATTTACATGCACATCAAAATAGAGATACGTCATTAAAAAATTCCTGTATCACAGTTCATATGGATATACATATATTAATTATGTGCCCATTCCTCCATTATGGGCACTTACTTTCCTTTTTTCATTCTTACAAATAATGTTACAATAAACATTTTTATGAGTGCCCTATGCATATGTATATCTGTTATCTATAGAACATCTAGAAGTGTAATTGATGGATTGATGGGTATGTGCATTAAAAAGGTAAAAAAAATTCTGCCAAATCACTTTCTCCAAGGGCTATTCTTATACCACCAAAAGCCTAGAGCAGATTTCTTCTCAGCATTTTAACTTGTTTAACACTAGATATTATCAACTTAAAATTTTTGCCAGCCTTATAAGTGAAAAATAGTTTCACTTTTTGTATTATTTTGTATTTCCCAGGCCGTGAGCAATGGCAAAAACATTTTTTAACTTTAATGGGCCTTCCATTAACTTCTGCTAATCATCTACTTGTACCTTCTGCCTCTTGGGATATTTGTCTTCTACCTATGATTTGTAGGAGCTCTTTATATAGATTGGATAGCAATACAATGTTTTATAAATGGTACAAATTTTTTCCCAGCTCATCACTTGATAGTTTGATTTTGTCTATGGTATTTTATCACATGGAATTTTACACTGTTATATAATAAACTTTGTCAATCTCTCCTGTTGTGGCTTCTGGATTTCCTGTCTTCTGTTAAAGGCCTTTCACACTCGAGTGATAAAATATATTTTCTTCTAATACAATTATGAACTTCAAAATCTCTTAATCCATCTATAATTTATTGTTATACATGATGTAAGACAGAGCTATAACTTCCATTCTTTCTACCAAATGGAGTTAATTATCTCAACAGGATTTCTTGAATAAGCTATTATTTCTCCATCGATTGTTCATGAATTTATTCATTTAACAAGTAATTATTTAGTGCTATTATATGTCAGGCCCTGTTCCAGGTGCCGGCGATACTCTATCGAATAAGGCAGACATAAGAAACAGGTTATTAAAAGAGAAGATTTCAGCGTGTTAAGTGTTCTGAAAACAAAACAAAAGCAAAAAAAACACCAAAAACCAAAAACCCACAAACCCCAAAACAGGGTGATGTGATAGTGGTATTCTGGTGAATGTTTAATAACCAGCTCTGGTTCGTAGTACTTGTCCCAGTAAATACTCGTGCCACGCCCTGTTTTGAACTACGAAGTCGTCATAGGGTCTGCAAAATTTCCTGAAACTTTAATAGCTGGCTTGGGAACAAACGGGCTCCAGAACACCATGTGTGATAGGGCCGAAGGGGGCTAAGTTGGGAGGGTATTCATGGAAGGCTTATGGAGGCATCATCTGAAGATGACAGATACGAAGCCACCAACAGCTGTTTGTGAGGAAAATGCATTCTTGGTAGAAGGAACGGCAAGGGCAAAGGACCTAGAGTGGAAAGAAGTTTGTTATTCTGAGGAATTACTAAGTGTTTTTTCCTTTTGTGAAATACTACAAAATTAGCAGTGAGATGTGAAAGATTATTGGAGAAATTTTCACACAGATGCCATTTGGTAGTAATGTCTTGCCTTTTTGTGTCTAGAACTATGTTTCTCTATCTTTATAATTCCCAAAACATCTGGTACAATGTTCAGAAAACCATGATTCTATGAGTTGCTCCACCTAAATGGCTCAAATGTAGTCACACAGACTTCTCAAGAGTGTTAAATCAAGCGGTTTTGATGAAGGTTCCTATCCTTGTGGAACTTGACAATCTAGTTATTAAATACAAAGTGTATCAGATGTAAGCACCCTGGTAGAGACACAAGCTCTATTTCATGTGTGAGGGCCCGAACCAAAACAGATATTTTCGCTTTCTTATTTCGGTATGAATGAAGAAATCTACTTGGCAATGCTAAGAATACATAGCACATGGCATGGTTCCTCCCAAAGGTTTTATAATCAGGTTGGGAAAACAACACAAATACACATAAAACAGCAGAAGAGTAACAACTTACGGCAGTAAGAGATCATGTGTTATAATTAAGTGCCAATATTAGAGGCACGACCACATATAAGAGAAAGGCTGTATATGCTGAAAAAGGTGGAGAAAAATGCATGAGGGCTTCCTGGGGTTTAATATGAGCCACGAAAGACGAATTGACTTTAGCTTCAGTTGGGAAAGGCGGAAGCGACTGAAGAGAAAGGGAATCAGACTGGCTTCATGAGAAAGGGAGTTAAACTGGGAGGAGAGAAAAGGAAGGTTGGACAGATACAATAAAGCTGGACTATGAGTAAAGTGGCCGAGGGATTCTGCACAACCTCCCATAAGCAGTGAAGAAGCAATGTGAGCTCCTGAAAGAGGTGGAGATAGAGAGGAACTTAATGAAAATGCGGTTAGGAAAATTAGCTACTAATTACTCTTGTGTCATCAAGGAGACCCCCCGGGAGCTCAGCAGCCCACTTCCACATATGGGTGCAGGCAAATATTCATTTAAGATTACTTCTATAAATTAAGTCTACCTTAATTTCTAGAATCTGTATGTTCTAAGTAAGCCATGTCCTATAGGCTGTGCTGACTGAACCTTATGAAAAAAGAGGAACCCTAGTTATATTTTAATACTTCCATCTAAATAGCTCTATCTACCCTCTCCCCAAGTCATTCCAGAGAGGCAGGAAAGAATATCAGGACTTCAGTCTGATTGGGATAAATTTTAATGACCTAAAATTGGGAATTATGCATATTAGTGATATTTTCTGGAACAAAAATTGGTATAGATTCTGCACAACAAAGAGCCAGGGTGAGCATGACTGGCCTGGGATAGACCAAGATGCAACCAGCTGGCTCCAGACATACGGACACTTACCTAGCAATCCCCTCTTTGGTGTAGAAGACAGAGTAGGTAAGGTTGTCTCCATGAGGATCTGATGCAGGTGTGCGCCACGTCAGTTTGATGAAGCGGGTAGAGACCAGGGAGGCCACGACATCCCGAGGAGCTGAAGGCAGTGGTCCCGCTGTGGCTGGTGCTAGATGGTCAGTAGTGGCACTGGTCAGTGAAGTGGGAGGTAATGTTGGGATGGCAACATCTTGTCATGTGCAAACATTGGGGAATATGAAGGGCAAACCACGACGGTTTTAAAAAAGAGAACAGAAAAAACAAAAAACAAAAAAGAAATAAACAAAACCACGATGGGAAATAAAATAAAATGAATGAACATAAAAAAGGCCATTAAACTGAAGGCTAACATGCAGGCCAGGGTTAACTACTGAAAACTAATGGGCACTATTCAGACACATCACTGTAGAGCAAGGAGACTTTCTGGTCACTATAATGGTTGTGGGCAAGGGACAGGGAGGGTGACGGCTGAGAATAAAACATCTCACAGAAGGACACAGCAGTGACCAAGTAATTTTCTTTAATTCTGAAAGCGGCATGCAACATCTGTCAAACTTTGCACATAAAAGTTTCACCTATGATAAAACCTCAATACTTTTAGCTACTTTATCAAATACGGAATAACATGTGTAGCATGGATGAGCCTAGCTGCTCTGGACATAGGCCCAGGCTGTCATGACCTCACTGCAGAGCTGGAGTCTTCAGCTCTGCAGGAGACTCAAGAGACACATCTTTAACTTTTGTCTAATAATAAACTATGCTCTCTGTAATTCGGCAATACCCAGGCAAGTTAGACAACCTTCCTCACTTTACTAATATTTTACTTGCTATCTTTTTCAACTCATTTAACTACAACAATATAAAAACATGAATCAAAAATGTCAAAACCATAAAAACACAGTACTTAGGTAGCTTGTCTGTTTGTTATGGGGCTCTCTGCAATATGTATTACCGTGGCTTGCAGACTCAGGAACTGGATGGGATAGATGAAGCGGTGGCAAGTCAAAGTTCCGCTCATCAAAAGTCTGTTTGTACACTTGTAGTCATGGGTGACTTTATTACTCCTTAAGGCAGTCCATTCTGTTGTCGGACACTTCTGATTTTCCTAATATTGAACCGAAAATCTCCTGCATCTTGGGGCCAGAAAGTGTAAGTAAAATCTCACAATTTTTAACTAAAGGAGTTCATCTGAGTTGTGTCATAACCTTAGTGGGAAAATTAGTGGAAGAGAGGCAGAGAAGAAAACATGAAAATTCTGGACCTAATTTTCGGTGGAATGGTAGGTCAACAACCTCCAGGAAAGGCCTGTGAACTGCAAGAGAATCTAAAGTAAGGCAGTCAATAACTATGCCAGAGTAAGTTCTCTAAGGGAAAGTACAGAGAAGATGAACCCAAAGTCACTACTTAGGTGGGGAAGGGGCAAGAGGCATCCAACAGCCACCATCTCTACATGGCTCTCTGGCTCTTCATATGGCCTCGCTGGATCCTTATGGTCATTTTACTTCTGTCTTACATGTAGAGACTGACATTTAAAAGGGCTAAACCGCTCATCCTAGGTCACAGACGGTGAATGATGTAGTGTTAAAACCAACTTTGGTTTTTAGTTTATGCCAAGAGGAGTTCTACTCGTCCTGTGCTACTTATCAACTGTGTCATCATGGGCAACTCATTCACTCTCCCTTTTCCTCTCCTTATGAGAAAGTACTTTGAAGAGCACAGAGTGCCATCAGAACGTAAGACTATGAAGTCCCAGCCACAGTCCCAGAAGATACAAGTCCACACTCCGCTGACCAAGTGTGCACGCTGTAAGTTACATCTGAACGGCCTGTAAGGCCTGACATTCTTATCCAGATGTGCTGCCTCAGAGAACATACCTCTCCTTCACAGCTTTCAGAGTTCTTTTTCATATACTGTGTCAGTTTATTCACACAGCAACCTCAGGAGGTAGGATGGAAATGACAGGATTGGAGGCTGGGGGGGAAGGTCAGAAAGGAGTCGAGGACTCCCAGGTTTCTGGCTTGGGAGAATGGGTGGTGGGTGGTGTCATTCAAGGAGAACGGCAATATTAAGAGACTAGAGACTGAGGGAGAGATGGCAAATCTGGTTCTGAACATGCTGTGTCCAGAATAATGATCCAACATCCGCCAGAGAAATGTGTAAGAAGAAACCAAAAATATGAATCTCTGATTATTGTAAAGTAAGTCACTAAAAAACCCTTAGTGGGAAATGGTTCAAAGAGTAGCCTGAACACAGTCTTGCTTTGTTGCCTCATTTCTGTGCCCATCCAGAAACACACTAAGTAAAAGCTGCTTCCAAGTCTGACCCGATTCACTAAGCTATATTTTTCCCAACTATCTGCTGGCTGGAGAGGAGAGGAAATTTGTAATGTAAGAGGCAGTAGAGCATACTGGAAAAGGCCCAGGATTTCAAGTACAAAGACCTTGTGTTCAAAACTTGACTCTGCCACTTCCTAATAATGTGAAGTTGGGCAAGTCACTTAGTCTCTCTGATCTCAGTGACCTTGTCTATAAACTGGAAATGCTCCCCACCATTAGCACCACAATTAGCTTGAATGGGTGACAAACGGAAGAAGGTAAGTATAAAGGCAACCAGGAGGGGAATGTAAGCAGGAAGGACCAGGGCACAGAAGTAATGGGTGATAACTGAAAGAATCGTCAGACAGGGAAACTTCAATTAGCCTATGGAACTTCTACAGCACACAACTGTAAGTTTTTAATGGCATCCAGCGCTTCCCATGTATATTTGTCATGTTCACACTCAATCATGCTAACCTAATAGGCTCCCGGAAGACAAAATCTGTATCTGCTTCATCTTGGCATCACTCATTGTGCCTGTGTATACCTTAGATAATAAATGTGTATTTATTGAATTAATAAGTGGAAGAAAATTCAGGGAGACATTAGTGCAATGGAGACAGTGTTGCTAGAATCTCATCACACACAGTATTTTAATCTTTCTAGCTGATTCAAAGTACATACAAGTAACATTTATATAATTATGTTATATAAACATTTGCTTTGCAAATGTATTTTATCAGTTATACCTAGAATAAAAGTATAGGTAATGCCAGGTCATCGTAAACGATTCCTAGTTAACTATGGGAAAAATCTATGTCTATTCCTTTTTTTTTTTTTTTTTTAAGATTTTATTTATTTGACAGAGAGAGACAGCAAGAGAGGGAACACACGCAGGGGGAGTGGGAGAGGGAGAAACAGGGAGCCCAATGCGGGGCTCGATCCCAGGACCCGAAGGCAGACGCTTAACGACTGAGCCACCCAGGCGCCCCAATCCATGTCCATTCTGGTCCTAGTGTTTCACACCCACTTTCCCCAAGTTGGTTCTTTTTCTGCTGTTCCATGTTCTAGTTGGGCGGGTAAGGAAGAGTCTTACGTGATCCCAGAGAATCAAACAGGCAATGAAGTTATACCAGGATCAACCGAAATGATGCAGATGGGAACTTCAGACTTCTAGCATGATGGTTTGAGGACATCAACAGATGCTCTTCCCAAAAAAACAAGCATAAAGTTGCACAAAACTGTCAAAGACTGGAAACTGCCCAAAGGCATACAGCAAACCAAGAAGCATTTATCTGTGAAAATCAGCAGTGCGTGTGCCGTTCCTCCTGTGTGTGTTCCAAGCTCCCCAGCTCTGCCGGAGCAGTTATTCAACAGAGCCCGGGCAGGCCCTGGAAGCCGGTGGCTGCTGTCGGAGGGGCTCATCTGATGTGGAGTATCGTCGGAGCAGTAATCTTGGTGGCAAGTGAAGAGGAAGGGCCAGCGTCTCCGCCAGCCCAAGGCTGTGATCTTTTCCCGGAGCAAAGAGTGGACGATAGACTAGCAGGATTTAACAGGGAGTTTGGGGTGAAAAAACACGAAGAAGGCTCGATAAGCTCTCCACATGCCCCAGGAAGACTGAAAGCCGTGAGTGTGTGCGGCAGAGCCAGCAGGAGGTCCAGGGGACCCATATATCCCTGGCCAGCAGAACCTACGTGTGTGTTCAGAGGACCAGTGAGAGACCCCGTGGAAAGCAAGAGCTGAGGCAGACTGAAAAATGACCTCAAGTTTGAATGCATGCCCCAAACCACACCAGACCCAGAAGGGTGGAAGGCTTACTGGCTGGAGGTGTTTGAGCACAACTTCTGACTGATGTTTGGCTAAACACTAATCCAAACAGACACAAGGGTTACCCCTAGAAAGCCAGGCTTAAGAATAAAAACAAAATGAAAAACAAAAGCTAAGAAGAAACATCAGTGGTTGCACAGTGTGGGGAAGATGGATGTCCAGAAAAAAAAAAAAAAGATGGATGTCCAGGATTTAGTCTAGGCAAGCTTACTGCACAAACAAAACAAGAACAGCTCGGGGGGGGGGGGGAGGAGGAATGAGGACCCACAGCTGCTACAATATGCTCCCCAAAATACCTAACAGTCAACAAAGAATGAAGACACGTACAAAGAAATGAAGTGTGACTTATACTCAGAGGCTAATATAAAAAATGCAGTCAATACAAAAGGTCTCGGGGTACTTGGATATTAGATTTGACAAAGATTTCAAAGCAGCTGTTAAAAATATGTTCAAAGAACTCAAGAAAACTGTCAGGAACTATGCAGGGTCTGAGATTTACCTTACTTATGAGCTAACAAGACAGGCTATTATTGTTTTATGGGCACTGGCAGAAACACAAATCTTGTATCAGAGACAAAACTGTATTATTCGGGGCAATGGCAATAGCTAGAGCTTCTTGTTTGTTTTCATCAGTTCCCCATGCCTCCCAAGCCCCACAAAGGCAATGTAAAGGACCCGGGATGGATGCGTACACATGCAGCAGGTTGTTACAGGAGAAGAACCCTGAGCTTGAAGAATTTACTACTTCCACAGCAAGCTCCAGACAAAGAACCGGCCTGCAGTGGATATCTGATTTCATTCTGTTGTGATCAGGCACATACTTTGTATGGTTGCAGTCTTTTAAAATTTCCTGAGACTTGTTTTATGTCCCAGCATATAGTGTATCCTAGAGATTATTTTGTATGCACTTGAAAAAAATCTGTATCTGTAGTTGTTGGGTGGAGATTCTATAATATCAGTTAGGCCAAGGTGGTTGTTAGAGTTAAGTTTTCTATACTCTTAACTTTTTCTAATTGTTTTAATCCGTTTTTGAGAGAATATTAAAATT